GTTATTCACGTTCGTTATTCACGTTAATATTTTTAATTAAATTCATTGAATTAAATGAATTACACATTGATCCAACCGTCTCTTCTCAAATGCAGTTCTAACATTTGTTGGCTGCTTCCTCTTAGATGCTACACTTGTGGGTTCCACAGAGTATTCAAAAATCGTGGGTACAGTATCCTTCTTAAGGCGAAGCCGTCCTGCTGTCCATCCTACTTATTAAATCGCTTCAAAATTTTGCACGAAGCACGAACTCTCTAAATGTTGCGATCACAAATTTGAGCTCTTTGTTGGCTTTAAATTTTTGCGTCGGATTTTTTCAATCCAAATATCTCACATTCGCTTGTTTTTGGGAAACGAAAAAAGAAACCTTTTGCTGTGTTTGGTGGTTTATAGAAGAACCGTTTTTACAATTAAATGCGGCACAATAAACCATATTTTCAATGCTAAATTGTCGTGTTGTTAAGAAGTTACCAATATATTTTGAACGAAGCGCGCAATTGACCGCGTTAAACTAATGTCAACTATTACGTCACAACGACCTTTTTCCAATCGGTAGCCGTTGTTAGCTCGTCGGGGATTTTCAATACGTTATCAGTAAAGCAACAACTTTAAACCTCCAGATCTTCTAAAATATATATACTTTGAGTCTCAAACTTTGGTGAACTATTAGTTGGAGATATACCTTTATAAAAAGTACAAAAATAACAATCCGAATTTTATGTTGCATGTGTCCTTTAACGAACTACACGCCCAAAACCACAACAACAACTACTTCGTTTCTTTTCACGTATATTTTAAATGTCTTATAAATCAATCGTTATAATAATTGTCACAATTCAAGAGGTGACACGTCACCATCAGACAACCAACTAATTTCGTCGATGAGAAAATTAGGGAGGAGGAGGGTTAGGATAAGGATTAGGGTTAGGGTTTAGGATTAGCATTAGGGTTAAGTTAGGGTTAAGGTTAGGGTTAGGATTAGGGTTAGGGTTAGGGTTAAGGTTAGGATTAGAATTAGGGTTAGGATAGGTTAGGGTTAGGGTTAGGTTAGGGGTTAGGGTTAGGGGGTTAGGTTAGGGTTAGGTTAGGTTAGGAAGGAGGGGTTAGGTTAGGAGGTTAGGGTTAGGCCAGGATTAGGTTAGGTTAGGACTTGGGAAGGAGGGTGGCAGGGTTGGCTAGGGGTTAGAAGGTTAGGGGTTGAAGAAGGGTTAGGGTTAGGGTAGGGGTTAGATTAGGTTAAATTAGGGTTAGGGGTTTAATAAATTAGGGGTTAGGAAGGAGTTAGGGGTTGAAGGGAGGGTTAGGAAGAATTAGGTTGGAAGGAAGGAAGGAAGGAAGAAGGAAGAATTTAGGAAGGAAGGAAGAAGGAAGGAAGGAAGGAAGGAAGAAATTAGGAAGGGAGAAGAAGGAAGAAGGAAAGGAAGAAGGAGGTTAGGGTTAGGGTTAGGGTTAGGGTTAGGGTTAGGGTTGGAGGTTGGGCATTAGGTTAGGGTTAGGGTTAGGATCTAAGAAATTAAGCATTTCGTAGTAATGATTGTCCACCGATCGTAGAGTGGATGGCTCTGTGTATTCTTGCACTTTTGCTGTATTGCTGAGGTTTTTCTTTTTCTTGCCGAATTTTTCTTCCCAAGCTACATAAATGACAAATTCTTTAGCAAACTCTGATGATTTGACAAAATTCTACATGATTTTTAAAATAACGTTGTTAACATTCAACTTTTTAAAATCACCCCCCCCCTCTACAATCCGTCAGCCGCAATGCATGGTGTTAACTGTTTCACAAATCAGTAGCATACGGAATCCTAGTCTTTACTGCAATCTTATTGGCCTTTGCAGCAAATATAGAATGTCAAAAATAAAATATATGTCGTCTGTACACTTTGTAATGAGCAAAAGCATTCTTAAAGTAAGAGTATGTAAGGTTAGATTAAAAAAGATACATAATTTCATGAGAACAAGCTGCGTTGACTTATATCGTTATTTACTTTAAATCACTAAAATGACATGACGTCATTATAGCAAGTTCTTTGTTTTGCCTTACGGAGACAGCAGGATATGAGCTGAGATGGACATTATGTTAATACAAACGATAAAACGACACTTTAAAATTGTACATACTTTTGCAATTTAAATGTTCGAATTTTACATGAAGATATTTTCTGTTATTTTGTCTTGTGAATCTTTTCAGATTCAAATTTTTCTTACTGGCAAAACTGTTATATTCAGTTCGTAAATATTTTTTATATAAAAATAATTAAGAACAGTGATTTTCGATTTTGCCTTTCAAACAACTCTCTGATCTGGGCCAGTTATCGTAATATGCAGACTTTACTCCTTCAAACAACATCTCTAATTAATTACTCGGATACAGTAAAATTTATTACAAAGATTTGTGCATCCAAATAATTTTTAAGTAATATTGTATCTTCATATAAGATCATAATGTTCATTTCAGGGTTATCCTGAGTCAGTAAAATAAAGAAGAGAAAGTGAATGCACAAGTTTGTTAAGAGTATGCCTATGCTAAAATAAATAAATTATAGTTTATAATAATATCAGAACCTTTTGTTAAACAACAAGTACAAAACATGTTTTCCACATAAGAAGTGTGAAAGGCAGGGATAACAATTTTATTTAAATCATTTTATGGCTTTTCTTCTCAAAATTATCATCGTCGTTGTTGTTATGATCCGAACTTATTACCGTTCCTACTAAAGGAATTGACGTTGGAAGTTCAGTAAAGAATTTCTTATAATTTTTTGAAACTTTTCATATAATTTTGATTTTGCAAATTCTCTTGGAATTATTAATTGATTAGATGGGTTGAGCTCAGATTTTGCAAATGCTATTACATAGTGTATTTGTTTTGCTTACACTATGTATATTTCCAGCAAACTGCTCTAAATATAGCCCCAATCACATTAAATTCTGATATATAGTCATCACTGAAAAAACATCAAAAAAGCGAATCTTACTTTGGCAAATAATCAATAAATCTTGTGAAATGTTGTTTTTGCAAACCTGAAAATTAGAAATAAATGCTGAAAATAGACGAACCTTAAACCAAACTTCTTCTCATGAATTGTGTAGATTCTGTCGCCTTTTATACTATGTGTATAATGCTATATCTTGCGTACAGCACTCCAGGATGAAGCCATTTTTGAAAGCTTATTAGACAAACACATGTAATAACACTGAAAACACAAGCAATTTGCTTTTTGGAGACGATATAAAATGCGAGATTCTAAAGAAACAAGCAAACTTAATTCGATGTTTGCTAGCCCTTATATAGCTGGGAAAAGATCATATTCTTCCATGTTCTCTGTTAAAAACAACTATCATCAGGGCGTATTTTCAAGGAAAAAAACACTTTCACTTGGAGGACAACCGAGAAACAGGAAATAATCAGACAGCGGACAGAAATAAAGCAAAATGTAAAAATTTTGGTTCTTATATAGTGCCAAGCTCACATAAAATATTCACAAAGAAGTGTGGAAAACTTTCAGTAGGGAAGTCTGTCTTTTTTTCTGTATGGCAAAAAATACCACTATCATTTCTTATATTATGGGTATGTCAATTGAATACAGCCGACAAATCTTACCAATGTTTTTAAGCGTAATCTCGAATCGGACTCATACTTAACCCAATACTTAATCGTTCTGTCGCAAAAATTGGTCATCTACTGGCAAATTTCTAAATTTCAATATATTTTCAGTAACTACGCCCAAACCAAGATTATGCCACGCCCACTTTGTTAGCAAATTTGACGCTTTGACCCCCTCCCCCTCAAAAAAACACAGACTTCACTCTCCACTTCTTAACGCTCCTGAGTGCGTGGAGAACTCAACTACCACAACAGTGTTATTAACAGAGCTTGATTCATCATTCACCGTGCCAAATCATCATTTATCCCTCAAACAGAAATAGTTATTCTAGGATTTGTGTTAATTTAATAACAATGACTGATAAAATCACCAAAGAGAAAGCTCTTACGATCAAGAAGCTTTGCTCTGAAGTGTTGCACACGCAGTCGATCACAATTCGTAGATTAGCTAGAGTCATTGGGAAGTTAGTCTCCGATTATATTGGGAACTGGGGTTATGTCTGGCCTGCTTTACTACAAAAACAATGATCAGTTTGAAACACTTGCTTCAAAGAAGGAAAAGATAAATTTAACGAAACGACAATACTTTCCCTATTGCTCACAAAGAATTAACTTGGAGAGTGGAGCAACGTCGCAACTTACAAAAATGTAACATGTAAGAATGAGGTCACATTTTTCATTATAACAGACGCATATCACATCAAACTAATGTATGGGACATACAATGACAAAAGGACGACCGAGAGGATGCACATCAACTATCTAGAAATCCTTTCTCTTAGGCTTAAAAATATTTGGTCAGAACAAGTTACATGTTCACATTCGATTAAGAGTGGACATTACGTTAGCAATGAACATAACAAATAAAATAAGCTTCCGAGCTTAGCTCAGAACGAATTTGGAAATGGCGAATAGCACACGTATGGATAAGTGATTCTCACATTCCTGGCAGCAAATATTTTGTAGCCGATTATCAGTCCACTGCTTGAGACAGTTAAACCAGTGTCAAACCAGTTACATCCCGTTTTACGATGCATACCGACCAGATTACGAAGACTAAATACGTATGCCAAAGGGCTGTTACGCGACTCCTTCGTTCCTGACTGATGACCTTTAGCATCCAAATCAAACCTCAACCTTCGCTAAGTTTTGTTTAATTTAGATGTATGCTTGGTTATGGCGTGGTATATCCCTGGGCTGTACCGAGTTATTAGTTAGAGATTGGATTAGTGTTCAATTTCGTGAATTGCAAATTATTGTCATATTTGCGTCTCATGTTTTTGCTTCATTCTGTCCAGTAATTATGACTCCTGAAATCAACCAATCATCGTAAAGAATAAACAATACTACCACTTTTGGTATGTATGACGTCTTGTGTCTTGTGGTTATGTACTTATGATTGATGGTTCTATGGCGTGTGTTCTTGTGTATGGAGGACGATAGATGGGAGATGGAAGCAACGAAGTCGGCCATGGAAGTCCAACACTGTGTTACTGCAAAGCAGTTTGTTAGGTAATTTTGATAATTTAATATGTTTAAAACATTGTTTGTTGCTGAAAGTGTTCATCAAGGACATGAAATGTGAACGACCAATGTTTAAATAATACGTTTCATGTTTATAAAACGATTATACAATAAAAATTGCCACCTACATTTCGTAGCACTTCATTGTCTAATGGATATTTCTCGTTGATGTATTTTATTTTTACATTAAACAATACAATGTAGGCTCTTCGAAAAACCTACGAATTGCACATTGTTATAGATTCTAAAAGTTTAACTTTTGAGTAAAAAAGTTGCAGTACATTCTCTTAAACTGCACATTTCTGGTGTATAATTATTGTATTGTGATTTCACGCAAATACAGATGAAAAAAGCGTTGAATCCGTGTACGAAATTATTCGGATAGATGGCGTGGGATCTTTATACTCGTGTAAACTCGAGCAAACGTGTGTGTGTAGTGTATTTTGTGTGTGTGTAATGTATTTTGTGTATGTATTATTATCTTTATTTTGTATAATTCTTATCATTTTGTGTGGTGTCCCTTGTGAGCCACCGTATCTGACTACTAAAGTTGCAAATTCCAATTTCTACCAAGAATCAACAATATTACAAAGGTTTGTTTGTGCTTCGGCTTTTGAGAAGAATTCGTCATCCGTATCGGAAAAATTAGTGGAGGTCTCAAATATTTTGATGTTATTAGCTTGCGAGCATTGGTTAATTATTGTCTTTCTTGGATGTTGGTATTCTCGATATTTTCTATTTTGTCCTTAGAGATGCGAACTTCTCAGGATATAACTTGTTATAGTGTTGTGATACTTCACATTGTTGAAATGTTAGTATACATGTATAGTACTGTTAAAATATATAGTTTATGATCATTAACTATTAATATTTCATAAATATTTGATTTGTTTTTACTACTGTTCTCATTTCTCATTTCAGGGACTTGTGGCTGAAATTGTGTGAATGTGCACTCACTGTTACACTGTATCTGATGGCACTATTTGGTTTATTTTGATTTGTTCACTGTGAATTTTATCATGTGTGTCTTGGTTAAAGTTTATGTATTCCCTGTGTGTCTCATCATGGTTCTACTGGTTGATGTTCATGTACTGACTGTATGTTTCTCATAAGAACTGAAAGGTATGATATATGCATATACATCATGTAAATCTACACTAGCTAAACTAGCATTAAAACTTCAGAATAGCTTTACACATTTTTAAGCAAAATTGGGTTTAAACTTTGAAACATCAAAGTCTCTAAGAAATAAAAAGGCTTGTCTTCAAGTAGAGACCCCCTGCTGTCAAAGTTTGAAAATCTAATTACCATAACTGCTTGTTTTTGCTTGGATCCCGAGTGCAGCAGTCAAATGGGAGCCATGCCAAGGGTATGACATGCAAATAAAGCTGCACCCCTTTTAAGGGTCAAGTTCACACAATGCTCTTATGACAAAGTTAGAAAGGCAATATATTTTTCTCTACTGAAAGTGATGAATGTAAAAATTCATATGCAAGTGCAACAGTGTTAAACTTGGCCAGCAAATTGATAAGACTTCAAATAAGAAAACCAATCAAACACAAAGCCAGAATCAATGTGGCATAGTGCAGACTCAACACCAATCTGGAATAAAACTCTGACATAAACACATCATGTGAACTGAGTCAACCATTTGAGTTTCATACCTGCATCATGTGACCAGGTCTTTGTGTGCTCATTTTAAAAAATTTACTTACCGAAAGAAGTCTCTGAATTTTCAAACTCTGTGTTTTAGGATTTTTTCCTCTGTAAAGCAAATAAAAATAGTACTGCGTTCATTTAGAGTAATTGTTGCCGATTACTTTTATACTTATTTTGTAAAATATTTATTGATAGTAGACATTTCAGTACACCAAATACCGTTATGAACAAACATTAATAGCATAAAAATTCTAGATCAAATTAACCATGCAATACTGTCAATCAAAACATCAACTTTTAGCCTTTATAAACCCGTACATTGTGTATAAAAGAAAGAATACCATTAAGAATTGACAAAGTGTTAAGCTATTAAATCCTGATGAGTATGCTTCTCCCACTGATGCATTATTGATTATTGAACTGATTTTTGCTGTTAGAAGTTAGTAATAAATTCCCAGGAGCAGAAAAGCTTTTGTGCTAATAACAAAGATTTATAATATGAGCATGTATCTGACAATATTTTATGTGCTTGCAGACTTAGTATGGTAATAGGCATTGAAATTATACCATACATGAATTTCCAAAGTTATTTTTTATACACCCTGTATAAATACAAATAATGGTCTCTCATTTAGTCTGTTGTAATATGTTTTTCTTTCCAATGATAGAATATTAAAAAGTTTTGCTCTGCCACCATAGAAGCCTTACTTTACAATTTCAAGCTTGACTGCTGCCTGCCTGAGGGATGAGTTGTTATTAGTCATTAGCTTTAGGGATGAGTTTGTATTTTTGTTTTCTTTAAGTAAATAACATTGAGATTACTATCAAGATTCACGTAATATTTTTAGGGAAGCTCAGGCCTCTTATTCCCAAAGTTAGGCAGGTTGAGCATCCCAAGACAGACAGCTTGCCAACACAAGATATGAGTTATGTTACAAACAAGACTGTTCTGGAATATCAATGATTCTAAAATAGAGTCAAATATCATCTTGTTTTTTAATACAACTCATAACTTGAGTTTACAAGATGTCTTTGTTCATCAAAGTATGTTTCATCTTATATTTCTGAAATTGTCTGCTTGGAAAGGATTTTTAATATCTTGTCAAGGAGTAATCATTTTAGTTGTTGTGGTAATAAGAAATAAAAATATTTACTGTATTTCCACAGGCTTATGTAAACCAGGGAGATGTTTGGGAGAAGCTGAGAGAGAATGAGTGCAAGCCTGACTTCAAAGTTTGCACCTGCTCACAAGTTTCACAAATGTCTCCAAAGCTTGCATAAGCCAGTGCTAACATGAAAAACATTTTATTTTTTTGAAATAAGAAATAGCAAGAAACAAAGAAATTTTAAATAAATGTTTTAATTTTCTTGTTAACATGTATTGATGATTATTTTGCAAATTCTCTTTGATTGACATAATTGATCAAGCTCACCTCAGTTTCACAGGCTAATAAAAACTCAGCCATTGTCCAAATAGCAGAAGTGTTTCATGGTTATTACATTAAATTATATGACATATATATTTACCACCATACTTTTTCTTATTTAGAGACTTGCTTTCAAAGTTCAGTGGATTGAAATTTGCTATCGTAATTTTAATGGCTCTACTTTGTTAATGTTAATCTGCTCACTGTTTTTCTCACAAAAAGTATAAAAGATGAAGCGCCTCAAAATGGCATGTGGTACGTATGTGTTTTAAACTGTTAATTGGCTTCCTCAAAAAGAACTATTTCAACTTAAGTGAACTTTGCCACCATTTTTGCTCAAGAAGACTTGTATCTAGAAAATTATTCTGATGGTGTTGATTTGTATTTCAACTTTTTTCAAATTAAGTCAGTGTAGTGTGTATATGATCTTCAGTTGTTCATCTTTAAGTGTTGCTTTAGAGTGCCATAGACAATCTCAGCATATCATTCAAGTTTTATTTGCCAACAATACATACATTCATTGGTGTAACTTAACTTTTCTGACCATTTGCTCTTATTGTAAGTTGGACATTTAAATTGGTTGCTCTGTATAAAATTCACCTGGCATACAACACATTATCTATTAACAGTTGTAAGTCATTTGAGGATTTTCTGAAGGGTATCTTCTCCCAACTCCCCAATATTTATTAATGTTTAACTCAGATATTCAAACCTTATTTAATACTGTTATGTACATACCCACCAAGCATAAAGTTTATGACCATTGTGTTATTGTTTTCATTCTATGAATAAACATTTATTGACCAAACAAAGAAATGAAACTAACACAAAATTACTCCATTTTTCAGAAATATTAAACGTTATATTTTACTCTTTCGCTATAGCCTCGCACGACTTTAAAATTTACGACAATTTGTTTGTATGAAGTACGGCAATATTGAATGTGGTTAGTCGTTTTTGTGAATTTTGAATGTGGAGCAAAACTTACGAAAGTAACAAATATCTTATTAAATTAATGGTTCATTTCTTTTGTAAACACTGCTTAAAGATACTGAAATTATTAGTTAAGACTACAGAATAATTAAATTACACCTTGAAATCTATCAGGTCAACCGGACTTTTTTAATTTCGTGGTAAATTATTTTCGTTCTCGGGGTGTGTATCAAAGAATATTTTATCAATGTTACTGTAAGCACCAGCCGACGTGCGCGAGTGAGATACATTGTTTAGAAAATCCTAACAGAATGGTTGCTATTGAAGATTACCTAGTCTTTTGTTAAAGGACACCTGTGCAGTGGCGTAGCTAGGAAAAATAGTCACTCCCGCCAATCTATCTCGCGCCGAAGGCGCGACCCCACTAGGGGGGTCCGGGGGCATGCTCCCCCGGAAAATTTTGAAATCCAGAGCCTTGGAAATAGCATTTCCTGCGATTTCGAGGGCGAATTATTTGTTGTACAATAATTTATAAAAAACCATTTTTGTTAGCTGCATTCTTAATGTGGCAATCGTTGAAACTGCAACTAGTTAAAAAGGTACTAAAGGTGGCTCAGAGAAACGTTACGCAGGAGACAATTGTCCCCTAAAACATAATTTACTCATCACTGCCCCTGCATAAACAGAAGAAATTTGTATTAGCACAAAAAATAATATAGTATACGACACTTCTAAAGTGCATAGAGAGAGATTTTTCTTAGCATTCTACTTGTTAGTTTAAACTTGTTTAGATTGGGGCAAGTAGACAGGGATGGCTTTATTCTTTAAAGTTATGCTTAATTTTCTCAATGAAGTACCATGTATTATACGAACAAATATCAAAACACATACTATACTCATCATTTATAAAGAAAGGCCAGCCTCCTGGTTTTTCTACAAATTTTTCAACCACCTCGTTATGCAACACCTCTGATTCCTCTTTCTTTTCAATGATATCTTTGTGAATAAATATTCTACACAAAGAGCTGCCGACCTTGACCCATTCTATTTCTTAAATAGCTTTTACCCTTTTAAGCAAGAAAAAACCTCTACTGAAGCACTTGCCACTGCCAACACACCATTCAATTTTAACAAATTTACCACTTGACCTAAACTCGACTGGAGATTAAATTTGAAGATGTATTTAAGAACCTCATTACTGCACTCTTTGTGAAAGTCCTTGTCGTTGTAAATGAAGGAAAGTTGACTCTCCAAAGTTTGGATGTCAAAAAGGACTATACTTATTTTGAGAAGATTGATCTTCTCCTGTGGAACTATGCCCTTCCATGTAGTAAATAGTTTAGGATTTACAAGGTCTAAAAACTCGAACTGATTAATATCTTGAAATCGTTCACTTAACATGCCTTTAATGGAATCAATAATCTCAAAATAAAGCTGTTTGTAATTGTATCTACTATCTGCTCTGGTTGCTGGTGGGCCTACTTTTTCTAGTGCAGTTTGGTAAAACTCGGTGAAAGCTTGATCTGTGGTGACACAATAAACTGCTTGAAATTGTCAATCTTGCTTATGCCATAGTTAAAATGGGTTTCCTATTTTGAAGAATGGAATACAAAATTGTGGACTGTTCTAAAATCCTGTAAAAAACACACACTAGAAAACAAAAGAGAAAGCTATCAAGATAATGCAGTAAGCCACTTATTTTACTTAATGACTCATCATCCCACCCAGCTGGTTGTTCAAGTACCCCTCAAAAATATCTAAAAGTTTTTCATAGTTTTGTGCAATACATTGATTAATCTAGAGCGATAATACCATCTTGTTTCACCAGGGCAGGAAACTCAAGGTTGTTAGATGTGAGAAAAGCTTTTCTTTTGGGGCATTGCTTGTAAATGTGCTGAATGTAGCTATATTAATAAAAAGATTTTAACAGGAGAAATTGATGAGGCTGACTGGCATAGGACCAGGTTCAATCTATGAGCTGCACAATGAACAAAATGAGCAAAAGGATACTCTTGTCGAACCAATGCTTGAACACCATTGATATGGCCAGACATGACAGAAGCACCATCATATGTTTGTAAAACCAGTTTTTCTTTTATATTAGAATACTCACCAAGTTTATCTTTGAAAACTTGTGATATTGCTGTGGCATTTCTGTTCATACTTTCATCCACAAATCCTAATTGCCTCTCCATAATTTCACTTGCTTTGTCAAACCGAGCAATAACACTTAGCTGCTCTTTGGTGGAGACATCAGATGCTTCATCAACCTGAATACTCATAAATGTGCAATCATTTATTTCCTTTCTGATTTCATCTTCAATAATTGAATCAAGACAGCTGATAAGACCATCTTGAATTTCTGGGGAGACTCCAGTAAATCTTTTGTCACCAACTATATCAGATTCTGCTAGTCTACTGTGCAGTCGACGCTCAAATACAGAATCAAACTTAGCAAAACATTCGAGCAACTCTCTATAATTACCTTTGTTCAAGCTACCTTCGGACTCATTGTGACCTCTAAATGGCAACTCTTGCTTTGACAAATACAGCATGGCCTCAGTAACAGTTTTTAAAATTTCTCGATTTTGTCTTACCTCCTCATTGTGACGCTGAATCTCATTTCTTCTAGCGAGGGACATAAGACAATCAATTCGTTCACTAGCTCCATACGTTTTCCATGTCTTAAATGCAGTCAAATGCGATTTAGATTTTTCATGCTTCTTAGCATCAGACATAATACTACGCATATCGTTGTAGCCATTCTTAGTCCACGATGGCGATGTTTTGGGGAAACATTAGACATGGCCAACAAAACACTTTCTGCAAGGTTGTACTGCCACACAGCCAGTCCTTTGCCTCATACCAAACTCTCTGAAATGCTCTTCCCTTATTTTGGATAGTTAAATCAGGAGTAGGCCGTTCATGAACGATAACATTCTGTTCGACCGACGATCGAGCAGAGAACGGTTTAGCTAATAAGCTATTTACTAAATCAACATCAGTTGAGCAAATCGCAGTCGCATTGAAGCCATTGTGTCATACACAAATACAAAATAGCAATTTGAGAGTAAACACAATGGAAAATTAATACCGACAATGACACGTAATTTGATAATCACTAATCGCTGTACTCGTATTAAAAGGTCGAATAATTACAACCTCCGCCAATTTAAAATAGCGGGAGTTCGACTATAAAACAGCAGATTTGAGCATGCGTCAAGTCCCTTAGCCAACCAGAATTCAAAACTTCTTATATAGAATTATATTGCATGTTCCGCCCTCTGAAGATGGGCGGAATACGTGGAGAATCGCGCGAGTATGCAATGTGCGAGAAAAGGCGGTTGCTAGGTTACATAACAAATCTTGAGATTTTGCTGTATTACGATTACGAACCACCTAATAAAAGCCTAAATATGAACGAATAAAACATAATATTACAAATTGTTCGTGAAATAATGTATATCTTATGTCCAAATAGAATATTTATTATTTTTTTGGGAAATTTCTACTCCCGCCGGGCGGGAGTAGCGGGACCGCTAGCTACGCCACTGCACCTGTGGTGTATTTGTACTTGTCAGTTCGACGAACAACATTTAAACATGTTTCGGATTTCCGAAAATTGCTAAAACCTTTTATTGCCCTGAAAATCAAATTTATTGCCCTGAAAATCAAATGTACTTAAAAATCGTTGACTTGACAGTACAAATAGCTTGAAGTGCACATTTTGACGGTTTTGAGTATCGTTTTCTTCCAATATAGCTAAGGGTGAATAGAGCTCTTATCGCGTGCGAACTGAATTATAAAATGACTTACCTTACGTTTTTATCTTGTTTCCTAGATGAAATTTTTGGTACAAACGCGTGATCTATCACTCGCTCCTATGATTAAGACCCATTTTGCGGCATATTCTCTGAATTTTGATGTTGCAATGAAAGAGTCACGACTGATTGTGTGACACAAACACTTAGATGTCACGGATGGACGACTACATTTATCAAAAATATAGAACAGAATGTAATGTTTCACTCCAAATATCGTTCCATTTTAAACACAAAGTAGAGGTTTGCAAAAAAGTTTTTTTACTCAGTAAATATATCTCAGGGAAATAACTACGTATCAGCTGATGATGTCTTAAATAGAAGACGAAGCGTCATCTTTAAAACAAAGCTTTTTCCACCATTGTTTGCTGTAGTAATTCAACATTTAGATTACGAGCTCTCATCTACAAAATGATAGTTGATGAGTACAAAGCCAAAATCAACTCTCGCATCATGGAAGTTGAGAGCGAGTAATCTAATTGTTTTAGTAGAATCATACTGGTATACATAAAGGAAAGTGTCGCTATAGTTTTCCTTGATTTGTTGTTTCATCAACACAACACAAAAAGAAAATTCCCATCTATAGACAAAATTTTACCAGCGCTGAATCAATGAATCTTGGTCAGCCTCTAAGGGCCAATTACATGAGCCCGGTAGCCGAGATTTAGCAAAGTGTTAATCATTTTGGTAAATGAAAAAGATTAAATACTTCACATAAAAAACTTATTTGAGCAATTTAAGATTTACATGGAAAGCGCATTGTCACATCAGCCTAGTAGCTAAGTCAGCCCCCCGTCGAGGACCTTAGCCGCTCTGTTGGGGAATTCCTGGTGCCACCCCTGTTAGATCCATCTGTGATAGCAATTTTAATATACTTGACTGAGCTCCACGAAAAAGCCAAAAAGGTTTATCATATTCGACAATAAATACGACTAGAAGCACCATATCGGTATTCACACTACCTAGCAACAATAAACAAATTGTTTGCTTTTTATCAAAAGGTGCATTTCATCATCATTACATTATTAAGCACATAGATCAATTCATGGTATTTGACTATTTGTTAGTATAGTCAGTGTTTTTGTTTTACTTCACCAAACAACATATTAACAATGAATACAAAACTGACTAATTTACTTCAAAACAACTAACCTCACTTCTGCACACTTTTCCATTGTTAACATCTTTACAAAATGTTCCTTCAACAAATTCTTCAACAGTTGCAGGCTTCCCTTTGTAAACTGTATAGTATGAAAAGGTAAAAGTAAAGGATTTACCAAAGATTATCTGATGCTAATACAATATCGGTAAAAATCTAAAGGCATGGATTTGGCTCACTAGGGGTAATATGCAGTTTACATTTATACAACTTTATTAGGTAACTGCAATGAAGTTTTTTTTTTTTTCTTTAAGTTAGGTTGTATTGCATATAAAAAGCTAAAGGAAGCACAAGAGGACACAAACAATTGGTTAAACAATTATCTTCTACAACACAAAAAAGGTGTTCAGAAAGATACCTTTCAGTTTTTAATATTTTGCTCCAAAGATGATTCATTATTCTTATCAGCTGGAATGCTTTGCAGGTGTAGCCTAACAAAATATCAATAACATATCTATTGAAATTTTAATATTGCTTTGCATGTGTCATCCAATACATCCTGACAGCCTAACATTTCAGTGGTAAAAGGAAAATGTAAAACCGAGGATGTTAAGAGCCTACAGTAAATTACCAAATACGAAACTGTTAGCAAAAATCTGAAATAATGGAGCTTCCATATATTGTATAAACAATGAGGCCTCCTGTCATCACATAAATAATACATAATAACATTGCTTACTTTGCTCTGGGCTTTCAGTATCAAGCACTCATTTGTTCAAAGAAACTTTGTGAAAGCCATAATAGTCTATAATATATACGGTATTGATCAATCTTCTTACTGGACTCACTCCCACTTGAACGAAGTATGCAGTTGAGTTTCATATTGATGCAAGTAATGGAAATTACAAACATGATAAATACTTTCACTAAGACCATTTCAGAACAGAACGAAAGCAACAATCTAATTGACTCTATAAAGCGTTTACAAGTTCTTTCTCCTGAGCAACAATGTCTTTCTACACGACAATTCTTCGACTGATGCTAGCAATCATGCCACTTGCTTTTAGTTGCTACGGTAAACAACAGCCTCGAGGCCCTCGACTATGTCGTCGCATGGCAGAAATTCTTCTTGTGAATCGCCAGTATGAGGACAAATCTACAGAATGATAATTCTCGTAAAAGAACAAGGAAGTGCTGCCGTATTCTAAATTACATCTGTATTATTTTCGATGTTCACTGCACACAGCAAGCGATACAGCAATTGTCTGACTCTGTCATTATCATCGAGTTACTTTATGAATATTACATGATGGAGGCTATGACGTCACAGACTTATTCGGCCTTCACTTTAGCTTCTTTCTCAAAGACACAAGTACGAACTTCATCTCTTTCTATTTTTATTCCTATCAAGCATCTGTTCATACGACTACTTTGTGGGAAAATTTTACGTATGTCAGTTGTATTAAAAATGCGTCGCTTAACAAACCTCGACAATATTTATTATTTGAAGTCATTGAAATTTTAACAAGCAAGTGTTGGTTGATGGCGAAAGTTGGCAAATTTCCCTGTAACTTTGGCTTCACGTTCAGGTTTGGATGATTCATAAACTATTTCCTAAAATGTAATAAATACTTACATTTATCATGAAATATATACTTTCATTTAGCTCTTGTGACATATTTATTAGCACATTTTAAAATATCTTAAGAGAAATGCATGCTTTGATCTGGATTTGTTATGGGTGAACATGGCTGAATCCTTTGAAGTTGTTGATTATGTTGATATGTTCAACAGAGTTCGTACACAATACACAGAAACTTGAATATTCTTGAAAGTCCTCGAATTAATTAAGATGTCCTTCAAAGATCTTGGATTTCAATTTTTTTCAAATTTTTCTGACTAATTTTCTTTTCATCAGTGAATTTAAAAATGTAATCTTTATGTCGGAAATTTGAAGCAACAAACCAACATGGCGGCTTCACATCACATAACCAGTGAACTCCATATATATATATATCTGGAATGATAACGACAATACATTTTATAGATATAAAATTGAAGCCAAAGTCCTAGTCTCTTGCGCGGTTTGTACGTCAGTTCCAGTCCTTCAAAGTCGAATATTCACGCGGTTTGTACGTCAGTTTCATTCCCCTGAGTGCCAAACATACACGGCCAATATAAATTTGAATACAAATTGCAAAAGCATAAACATATAAACAACATCACGACAAACAACACACGAGGCCAACTCTTCGCAAAGGTTATTTTTACAGCTGAAACTTTACTACAGTGAGTTCGTTGTAACTTACAACTTGTAACGAGGAAAAGCCAACTGAAAATTACACTTTATGCTAAAAGGCAATACAATAAGAAAATATGACGAGAAAATATTCAAGCATAAATTTTCTTTCGTCGGAAGGTAAATTTTCAAACGGTGTCAGACAGTGTTTGTCTTTTTGTCGTTTCAATGGATTTAAAGATCTGTTTTTCCGAAGAAAAAGAAACTTGAATATCCAGGTTCATAAAATATTGAGTCTATAACTCGCATTTTACTTTTACAGAGCGATTGTATCTTTCATCGATTTTGATAGTGCTTGAAATACTAAATGGTTGTCATCTCGATATCAGTAATTGAATATCCTTAAAGACTTTGATATGTTTTAAAGGAAAACCGCAGCGTAAAAGCAGATCGACTAAGTTCACCTCACCTGCTTCTCGATTTATCACTTTGATTCACTTTCCGTGAACCTTTTCATTCCAAAATTTCGTTATTTTACGCTCTGATCAAGATCCGAACTCTACCATTACCAAGGGACAAATGATTTAAAAAAATTAAAATGAACACGCGAGAGACTGTGATGACGAATGATGACGACAAATATTTTTTTGGCTTCGGTTATCATTCCAGTTATTCAAATGTCGAGTTCACTGCACATAACTTGCCGCTGAAAGCGCCATTTTGAATTATGAATTTTTCGTTTACCTCCCCCCTGATTTATTTCTAAATACATGTTTGTTGAATTTGTATTTTTTGTATATTCTTAGTTATTTTAACAATGTTATTTTGCATTTAAGTCATTTTATGTTTACAAAAGAAACACACAAAAATCAAGGTTATATGATATATGCTAGTATGTACATCAGTGAAAATGTAACTTAAATTATAAAATGGAAATGTAGAATATGAGGGCAGGAGATATTCCATTTTTGATTTTATAATTTCATAGGGCAATACGCAACCCAATAAGGAAAACAGAAATCCATTTTTTCTTTGAATGGCAAAAAAGCAGTACCAGCTTTTGAAACAACGACGCCAGGTTTAAGATATCTTGATGAAACTCAACGTAGTTAAAGCACCTTGCGTACATTAGAGAGTTTTTGATGAGGACTCGTTGACCAATGAAAATGTCAATGTGCAATCAAGCTAGAAAGAGAATCTGAAAGATGAAGATAAGTGTGTAAGGATGGAAGTGAAATATTTTTATTTTTTTGTCACAATTTATTAATTAAGTTTGGCAAATCTTTTACCACCTCTCTTGATGCTTATAAAGCACTTAGTGAACACAAGAATACCCCGAGTCTATGTAGGTGTTGACAGTTTGTTGAGTTCATTGGGTTTCACATAGGCTTACGGTTATACTGTGGCCGTACAATGCATGACAGACTGGTATACAAGATCTGTTGTTGCCTAATCGTTGAAGATATTTGATTGTGGGAAAATTTTATGGGAGTGAGGATGAAAAGTTGAGCAGTAAGGATAGAAAGTCGAGGCTGGAGTTAAAAAGTAAAGGTGGAGAACACAATCTGCATTTTGTTTCCTTTTGTCAAGCCTTCACTTATCTCATTCACTTCAACCAAGTAGTCAACCCTTCAAAATTGTAATTGCTCTAAAGGAACACGTGACTTATTTTGACCAATTACATTTGATAATTGGCACTAAATTTGCCGATCCTTCACGCGCCATGTTTAAATGGATTTTTTCCTAATACCACAGAATATGTATCTATTCTGTGCTAATACAGTCTTTATCGTAAGTATTATGTGAAATATTGCATTATTTGTTCAATAAATGAGATTTATAGCATCATAGTGAGCTTAACTTGTCAAATACACGACTATTTGTCTTGAAGGTATTGAAAAATCTTTCGCGTACTGAGCAAACTTGTTGTCGACAAGCCAAGCAGAGAGTCTCACGGCTTGCTTTCTTTGGTACAAGGTAGGATGGTTTTGATGACCATAAGAAATAAATATTAACGGTTTGTTTACCATTTCCTGAAATTATTGCTGAATATTTGTATTTTAGTACAAGAAATCTTAGACATAGTATGATGTCTCACTAGTTCATTTCATATAATTTCATATACATTTACCTACACGTGACAAGTGAATCAAAACATCTACAAAAACTGTAGACGTTTTGGTTAGAAAGTTACGAGTCTCAGGAGTTAAGATAGCATGGTTGGATATAGGTTTATTTATATTTATTAACTACTTATTAGCTTTGCAATATGGTTTAGTGTGTAATATTGTGTATTTTTATACACTTAAAGTTAAAACTAATTATTGTTCTTTGACTTCAACTACCCCCAATAACTTCCTAAACTTTTGAAATTGAACTTTCGAGAGTCCCTTGGTCATAATGTCACATAACAATACTTGATAGAAACGATGTTACTTTCGACTTGTTCTCAAATATAATGATACCACACATCTATATCTTTAGTTCTATTATGGAACTTATAGGATTTCTGGTGAGGTTAATTAAGTGGTTCGGTGATAGGTTCCTTTCGCATAAGCCAATATGACACGATCATCCCAAGATTAGCTTTAGTTGGCTGTAGTCACATTCAAACGTCATGTGCTGAGTTGCACCAGAATGGATTATCCAGTCACATCTACTTTCATTTCCATTTGTAATTAACGCTACTCATCAGTATCTTCTTGACAATTTTCACCTTGTTCATTTTCATCTTCTTTGGCACAATGTGCAGACCCTTTCCCTTTGTTCTGGAAATTATGCTTGAATTGTCCTTTTTTAGGGACAATCTCATGCAAATGTCCTTTAAAAGAATGCTGATGTTCATTTTCATTCTTGTTTTAGTCCTTTTTCTTGGTGCTATTCACAGGCTTGGTATTAGTCTTAGTACTGCTTTGTTCTTAGCCTTGCTATCATTGATAGTGTTAATCTAAGTGCTGGTGTTGCTCTTATAGATGGTGATAGTATTAGTCATAGTGTGTAGTGTTAGAGATAGTCTTTAAGTTGGTATTAGTCTCAATCTTGGTGTTAATGTAGTGTTAATCTTCATGCTGATGTTAGTGTTAGACTTGGTTTTAGTGATAGTATTATATGTTTGTAAACATATAACGATACTCCCGGGTTCAAACCATTTACTTTATAGTGATAGTATTAGCTATAGTGATTGTATTAGTCATTTAGTGGTTTTAATACTGATGTTTGTCTTGGTGTTTATGATGGTGATAGTGATAGTATTAGTGATAGTGTGATGTTGCTCTCATCCTTGCTGTTTGTGACTGTGTTTGTCTTAGTTTAGTGTAGGTCTTAATACTTATGTTGGTCTTGCTGTTTGTGATGGTGATAGTGATAGTATTAGTCATAGTGTGATGTTTGTCTAATCCTTGCTGTTTGTGATTGTGTTAGTCTTACGTTAAAAAAAAGTAATTTTGTTTTGTGTATTTCTTTTTATAATTAGGTGTTTTTGGTGGTGTTAGTCGTATATCGAGTCGCAAGAAAGAATCGTTTTGAAGAACTGTTTGGAATCACCTGTGTACGATACATACATAATAAAGCATGTTACATCTAAACAGCCCGACTAAAAGGTGAACAGGAAACAACGACAGCAAGTGCAATGGCAGAACAACGATGAAATTGAATTTAACAAAGTGAGCATTTGTCGAGAAGAATTTGGGTATATAAACCGATCAACTGCTAGAACTTTGGATAAAAGTCAACGTTGATGTTGGGAAAGAATTTGCTGTTGACTGAACGATATTCTCAGCGTGGATTGCACGCAAATTATTAACTGTCAAAGCGGAATTATTACGAATTAAATTACTACGAGTGAACTACGACAAGTGCCATTGGGTTGATAAAGCTAATATCGACAGCAGCCGCTAAAAGAAATCTGTATGGCTTAGCCGTAAGAAAACATGCTGCTTTTGAAACACTTGTCTCTTTGATTTTCTAAAGAAGACATAAGTAACTATAGATGTTTTACTAATGTATTATTAAACTAACATTAATATAAATGTATATATTTGTGTAACTCTTTCACACTATATATGTACACTCCTTCTTCGTGTAATTTTTACGAATGTGATTTTTGGTTTGTTGCTTTATCTTTAGCTGGAAGTGTTCTGCTATAATTTTGATTCGAGTCCTTCAATGGTCTATTTTTTTTGCATTAAATCCTTCAAGGTAGGAATGGCACTTTAAAATGACCAGGTGTCTTCAACGAACTCTCTGGTCTAGTGGATAGACACAACCTTTCGAGGTTGAGAGTGGAGGTTCGAGCCCTGTCTGGAAAAAGATGTAACTATGCTAAGGATGAATAAGAAATAGGAAAATAAGGAAATAGTGCTGGTTAATAGAACAAAAATGGGATTTCTATTACTAAACTTTTCGAGAATGGAATGCGACACTTAGTATAAATTCAGAAAAAAACGCTCTCCGATGAGAAGGAGAGCGAAGAAAAAAAAAAGATAGGATCCCATGCAAAAAACCACTCTTAAAAAAACTAAGTCTTTTGCTCAAATTTTTTTATGACTCCCTGTGATCAGGGAGTTATTTTTTTAAATTTTGAAAAGTCAGGAAACCCAAGAGCAAACAGAACGCCCTAATCATCCCTTTCTTACTTCCAGGCACTGGTTCTTGTGCACCGGAGGTCATTGATGTCGAACTAAACGCCCAACATCGGCCAGTTGAGCTAACCGCTCATCATCGAAAGCTCTATGTTTTTTAGTTGTGGGGAAAACTTTGTGGGGAAAAATGTTAAAATTTGTGAAAATGCATTAATTATAGTCCTTGTGGGGAAAAAATGTTAAGATTTGTGAAAATGCATGAATTATAGTCTTTGTGGGGAAAAATGTTAAAGCTTGTGAAAATGCATGAATTATAGTCTTTATGGGGAAAATGTTAAGATTTTAGAAAATGCATGAATTATAGTCTTTCGGGGAAAAGTGTTAAAATTTCCAGAAAATGCATGAATTATAGTCTTTGTGGGGAAAAATGTTAAAATTTAGAAATGCATGAATTATAGTCTTTTGTGGGGAAAATGTTAAGATTTTGAAAATGCATGAATTATAGTCTTTGTGAAAAACGTTAAAATTTGAAAATGCATGAATTATAGTCTCTTGTGAAAAATGTTAAGATTTTGAAAATGCATGAATTATAGTCTTGTGGGGGAAAAAATGTTAAAATTTGTAAAAATGCATGAATTATAGTCTTTGTGGGGAAAAATGTTAAAATTTGTGAAAATGCATGAATAGAAAGAGAAAAAGATGTAATCGATTACATAAAAGAGAAAAAGTTGTCATTGTATAAAAGACTATATCATAAAAGACGCCATTTCATAGGTTTCTTTGTCCTTGCTATTTAACTTTTGTCGCAACCAAAACCAACGATGAAAAGAATATGGTTGGTGCGTTATGATGATAAAAATAGTTCAGTTAGTTCAAACATAAAGTCAAATGATCTCGACGCCATTGCATCGGAAAAATGACCTAAGACATGCTCGTCACTGCCTTGATTTACCACATGGCATCGCGTGAATTGACTACCTTCGATTACTTGGAATACTTTCGACTATGAAATGACTAATTTTTCAATTAGTCATTTCAAAGGTAGACACAAAGGTGGACAAGAAGGTAGACACAAAGGTAGACAAGAAGATAGACACAAATGTCGACAACATTGACTATAGATGAAATGATGACACTCAAGTTATGGCAAGATTGTAAATTGACAAAAGACTTGAATTAGTAAGTGGATACTGTTCTGTAGGAACCATATGCTTTTGTACAAACCATTACAATATTATCATGCATGATGGTAAAAAATATGTCATTTAACTTTGAACAGACAAGTTAGAAACTCCCAGCGCCATTAAATTGACTACGAACATGCGCGTTGTTTTTTTGATTCACCACATGGCAATGTCTGACATTGTGCATACTCCATTCGTCTTCCTCCTTTCGGTTATATCATTTATTATCTTGCAATGTTAGAGCTAAACAACTAAAATGCGTAGTAAGTCTCTTTCTTCATCTTTGCAATGATGGTGACCAAGAACAAAACAAACACAGTATTAAATGTGAGTCTCAAGAGAAATGAAGACAGTGTTGTTTAGTCAGAAACACTTGACATGTTTTAACGGTTTTCCTATTCACCCGTCTGGCCGAGTGGTAAAGATGTCGGTGCAGTGCTCTCACCTTCTCGGGTTCAAGACCATCTAAGGTTCAAGACCTTCTCCTTTTCTTTCGCTTCACATTGAAAAAATTTAACAAATACTCCAAAACATAGAGCTTTCGATGATGAGCGGTTAGTTCAACTGGCCGATGTTGGGCGTTTAGTTCGACATCAATGACCTCCGGTGCACAAGATCCTTGGTTCGCCCCTCTGCCAACACACTTGGCAGGTGTACGCGGTGGATGTGGAAGACAGAAAGTCGAACTGAGGAACGAGTGCCTGGATGTAAGAAAGGGATGATTAGGGCGTTCTGTTTGCTCTTGGGTTTCCTGACTTTTCAAAATTTAAAAAAATAACTCCCTGATCACAGGGAGTCATAAAAAAATTTGAGCAAAAGACTTAGTTTTTTTAAGAGTGGTTTTTTGCATGGGATCCTATCTTTTTTTTTTCTTCGCTCTCCTTCTCATCGGAGAGCGTTTTTTTTCTGAATTTATACTAAGTGTCGCATTCCATTCTCGAAAAGTTTAGTAATAGAAATCCCATTTTTGTTCTATTAACCAGCACTATTTCCTTATTTTCCTATTTCTTATTCATCCTTAGCATAGTTACATCTTATTCCAGACAGGGCTCGAACCTCCACTCTCAACCTCGAAAGGTTGTGTCTATCCACTAGACCAGAGAGTTCGTTGAAGACACCTGGTCATTTTAAAGTGCCATTCCTACATTGAAGTATTTAATGCAAAAAAAAATAGACCATTGAAGGTCTCGAATCAAAATTATAGCAGAACACTTCCAGGTAAAGATAAACAACAAACCAAAAATCATATTCGTAAAAATTAGACGAAGAAGGATTGTTGATATAAAGAGTGAAAGAGTAGTACAAATATATAAATTTATATTAATGTTAGTTTGGTAATACATTAGCAATACATTTATAGTTACTTATGTCTTCTCTTAAAAAAAGATAGAGACAAGCATGTCTGTAATGTACAAATCTTTAAATTTATTATTTACAACTAAAGTACAGTACGTGAAAAATATATTTAAATATAGGTTCATCTATATAAACATAATCTTGCATGTTGATGATGTATCTGTTTGGAATGAAAAAAATATTAATCAATTTTGAGATAGAAAAATAATACGTCATTCAAATTATTAAACTTTATCGACTCAAAGCATGCAGTTTAAAGCTGCATCACATGCACTGCATGACTTGATGTCAGTTATTTATCGTTGTTAGGAATATTGTCTCATTTTAAGCTGTTGAAAGACCTTCATGTAAAGATATTGTTGCAATACAAGTTGTCTAGCCTGCCGTATCTCATCACCATTATTCATTTTATGCACAGTTAGAGTTTCGACCATGTATTTGAAACACAAACATGACCAATAATCCTCTAAACATTTTCTTCAAAAGTAACGTAATATTTACCTATAAGGGAATTCTTTTGTAAATTGCACGGACCCTGATTTCTTGTACATCGATTTACGTTTCTGACTACGATACTACAGAATGTATAAGTGTAGATTTGGTACTGAAAAATGAAATTTCAAAATATCCATTTGAAAACGCAGGAAAGTGGTCTTACTTGTTGTCTATAATTGGGTCGAACCTTGTTGTCTTTCATCTATGGAAAAATAATTGTAACAAAAATCACTATAAATTCATCATCAGAGTACTGACGTTTCTAAAACCTTTGAGGTAGTCATCTTTAGACTCAACCTGAGAAGGACTGTTGTTGTTGAAGTTGACTGACGTTTCTATAACCTTTGAGGTAGTCATCTTCAGAGTTAACCTGAGAAGGACTGTTGGTGTTGATGATGACTGACGTTTCTAAAACCTTAGAGGTAGTCATCTTCAGAGTTAACCTGAGAAGGACTGTTGGTGTTCATGATGACTGACATTTCTAAAACCTCAGGGGTAGTCATCTTCAGAGTCAACCTGAGAAGGACTGTTGGTATTCATGATGACTGACGTTTCTAAAACCTTAGAGGTAGTCATCTTCAGAGTCAACCTGAGAAGGACTGTTGGTGTTCATGATGACTGACGTTTCTAAAACCTTAGAGGTAGTCATCTTCAGAGTCAACCTGAGAAGGACTGTTGGTGTTCATGATGACTGACGTTTCTAAAACCTTAGAGGTAGTCATCTTCAGAGTCAACCTGAGAAGGACTGTTGTTGTTGAAGTTGACTGACGTTTCTAAAACCTTTGAGGTAGTCATCTTCAGAGTCAACCCGAGAAGGACTGTTGGTGTTGATGATGACTGACGTTTAGAAAACCTTAGAGGTAGTCATCTTCAGAGTCAACCTGAGAAGGACTGTTTGTCTGGTTCGAAGTATTTGTTTTCCGGCTCATAGTATGTGTGTAGAGAAAATGCGCGGGCGTCAATTGTGTTTTGTGGGTTAGTCTAAAAAAGTGTGCTTAATTTTTTGTTTGTTTCTTCGTTTGTTTCTAAAAACATGTAAATTCGTCATCTTTAGTCATATTCAAATACGATGGCGAATATTGCTTGGTCTTATTGAATAATACATGCCTAGAGCTTTCTAACTCTGCAAAACAAGTTGTATCATTACTTCGTATAAATAGTTAACTTACGTGCTCATATTGACCAAAGATGAGCCGCTCTTTAACCAGATGGCATTGTACCTCTGATGAAGACTATAAAATTTTAGGAGAAATAATGTCAATCCCTTGTGTGGTTAATAGCAGTGCTGAAGAAAGTAGGGGCGCTCGGTAGAGGATCCCTCCTATGGTGTTGATGATGACTGACGTTTCTAAAACCTTAGAGGTAGTCATCTTCAGAGTCAACCTGAGAAGGACTGTTTGTCTGGTTCGAAGTATTTGTTTTCCGCCTCATAGTATGTGTGTAGAGAAAATGCGCGGGCGTCAATTGTGTTTTGTAGGTTAGTCTATAAAAGTATTTAATTTTTAGTTTGTTTCTTCGTATAAACAGTTAACTTACGTGCTCATATTGACCAAAGATGAGCCGCTCTTCAACCAGATGGCATTGTACCTCTGATGAAGACTATAAATTGTTAGGAGAAATAATGTCAATCCCTTGTGTGGTTAATAGCAGTGCTGTAGAAGTAGGGGGCGCTCGGGGAGGAGCCCCTTCTACCTTTGAAATGGGTAATTTTTCATAATTTCATGACTTCAGCTTCGTCAAGAGAGCCCCCATCTGATAAATTTAGTTCTACAGCACTGGTTAATAGTATCTGCGTTTCAGCCAAAATTTCTAGAACTTTTAGCCGAAATCAAAGCTAAGAAAGTAAAATCTTTCCTAAGTCACACTTCTAACATGGTGCTTTCCTCTAAGACGTTAGACATTTTTGAATAAATAAAGAGCTATGATTTTTGGTTAATCAAATATTGAACTTCAATCAACAACTTTTTGAAAAGTTTACTTTGAACAAAATTTACGTTTTCTCTTTGCCATACCTTGGAGTTGGGATTTTGTTCATAAAGCATAAAGAACAACCTGAACATTGCTCGTTCTCTTGCAGAATCTGGTTGTCGTTGTATTCTTCTTGCTGTAAAAATTTTTTACACATTATAACATTTACTATACTTGCATCAAGATGAGGTTATTGAAGGATTTGTGAAGTTCACAGTTTGCGTACTACAAAATATCAAGTTCGTAGCGAGAGCAAAATCTCAGTCACGGCTCTTACGTAAAATCTTTCACGCTCATTCATCCAAACTATTCATAAACACATTTATCAAATTATGTTTCTATCTTAAGATTCCAACTTACGTTTTGACAAACTGAATTATACCATCGACTAAGCATCAGCTGCTGTTCAATATTGGTACTGTACCATTGATTGGGGAGATGTTGATGAGCATTGTCATTTTCCCATTGATTGGGGAGATGTTGATGGCCATTGCCATTTTCCCGTTGATTGGGAATTTCATGTCGATGAGTATTGTCATTCTCTCGTTGGTTGGAAATTTCATGTTGATGAGCATGGACATTTTCTTTTTGGTTGGGAATTTCCTGTTGATGAGCATGGACATTTTCTTGTTGGTTGGGAATTTCATGTTGATGAGCATTGTCATCCTTCCGGATCCTAACCCTCTTAGCTCGAACAACATCAATTCTTCGTTTAAGGTCTGCTTCGGACGTTTGTAATTGCTCCAACTCTTGCTGCAATCTTTGTATCTTTGTTTCCATCTTTGTCATCTTTATCACAATTTCCATATTGTCATCCTCCCGTTCGTTGGGAATTTCATGTTGATGAGCATTTTCATCATCCCGTTGTTTGGGAATTTCATGTTGATGAGCATTGTCATTTTCCTGTTGGTTTGGAATTTCATGTTGATGAGCATGGACATTTTCTTGTTGGTTGGGAATTTCCTGTTGATGAGCATTGTCATACTGCTGTTGGTTGGGAATTTCATGTTGATGAGCATGGACATTTTCCCGCTGGTTGGGAATTTCATGTTGATGAGCATGGACATTTTCTTGTTGGTTGGGAATTTCATTTTGATGAGCATGGACATTATCTTGTTGGTTGGGAATTTCATGTTGATGAGCATTGTCATCCTCCCGTTGGTTGGGAATTTCCTGTTGATGGCCATTGCCATTTTCCCGTTGATTGGGAATTTCATGTCGATGAGTATTGTCATTCTCTCGTTGGCTGGGAATTTCATGTTGATAAGCATTGTCATTTTCCTGTTGGTTGGGAATTTCCTGTTGATGAGCATTGTCATTTTCCTGTTGGTTGGGAATTTCATGTTGATGAGCATGGACATTTTCTTGTTGGTTGGGAATTTCATGTTGATGAGCATGGACATTATCTTGTTGGTTGGGAATTTCCTGTTGATGAGCATTGTCATCCTCCCGTTGGTTGGGAATTTCATGTTGATGAGCATTTTCATCATCCCGTTGTTTGGGAATTTCATGTTGATGAGCATTGTCATTTTCCTGTTGGTTTGGAATTTCATGTTGATGAGCATGGACATTTTCTTGTTGGTTGGGAATTTCCTGTTGATGAGCATTGTCATTCTGCTGTTGGTTGGGAATTTCATGTTGATGAGCATGGACATTTTCCGCTGGTTGGGAATTTCATGTTGATGAGCATGGACATTTTCTTGTTGGTTGGGAATTTCATTTTGATGAGCATGGACATTATCTTGTTGGTTGGGAATTTCCTGTTGATGAGCATTGTCATCCTCCCGTTGGTTGGGAATTTCCTGTTGATGGCCATTGCCATTTTCCCGTTGATTGGGAATTTCATGTCGATGAGTATTGTCATTCTCTCGTTGGCTGGGAATTTCATGTTGATAAGCATTGTCATTCTGCTGTTGGTTGGGAATTTCATGTTGATGAGCATGGACATTTTCCCGCTGGTTGGGAATTTCATGTTGATGAGCATGGACATTTTCTTGTTGGTTGGGAATTTCATTTTGATGAGCATGGACATTATCTTGTTGGTTGGGAATTTCCTGTTGATGAGCATTGTCATCCTCCCGTTGGTTGGGAATTTCCTGTTGATGGCCATTGCCATTTTCCCGTTGATTGGGAATTTCATGTTGATGAGCATTGTCATTTTCCTGTTGGCTGGGAATTTCATGTTGATAAGCATTGTCATTCTGCTGTTGGTTGGGAATTTCATGTTGATGAGCATGGACATTTTCCCGCTGGTTGGGAATTTCATGTTGATGAGCATGGACATTTTCTTGTTGGTTGGGAATTTCATGTTGATGAGCATTGTCATCCTCCCGTTCGTTGGGAATTTCATGTTGATGAGCATTGTCATTTTCCCGTTCGTTGGTAATTTCCTGTTGATGAGCATTGTCATCCTCCCGTTCGTTGGGAATTTCCTGTTGATGAGCATGGACATTTTCTTGTTGGTTGGGAATTTCCTGTTGATGAGCATTGTCATCCTCCCGTTGTTGGGAATTTCATGTTGATGAGCATTGTCATTTTCCTGTTGGTTGGGAATTTCATGTTGATGAGCATGGACATTTTCTTGTTGGTTGGGAATTTCCTGTTGATGAGCATTGTCATTTTCCTGTTGGTTGGGAATTTCATGTTGATGAGCATTGTCATCATCGCGTTGGTTGGGAATTTCATGTTGATGAATATGGACATTTTCTGGTTGGTTGGGAATTTCCTGTTGATGAGCATTGTCATTTTCCTGTTGGTTGGGAATTTCATGTTGATGAGCATGGACATTTTCTTGTTGGTTCGGAATTTCATGTTGATGAGCATTGTCATCCTCCCGTTCGTTGGAAATTTCATGTTGATGAGCATTGTCATTTTCCCGTTCGTTGGGAATTTCCTGTTGATGAGCATTGTCATTTTCCCGTTCGTTGGGAATTTCCTGTTGATGAGCATTGTCATCCTCCCGTTCGTTGGGAATTTCATGTTGATGAGCATGGACATTTTCTTGTTGGTTGGGAATTTCATGTTGATGAGCATTGTCATTTTCCCGTTGGTTGGGAATTTCCTGTTGATGAGCATTGTCATTTTCCCGTTCGTTGGGAATTTCCTGTTGATGAGCATTGTCATTTTCCTGTTGGTTGGGAATTTCATGTTGATGAGCATGGACATTTTCTTGTTGGTTGGGAATTTCCTGTTGATGAGCATTGTCATTTTCCTGTTGGTTGGGAATTTCATGTTGATGAGCATTGTCATCCTCCCGTTCGTTGGGAATTTCCTGTTGATGGCCATTGCCATTTTACCGTTGATTGGGAATTTCATGTTGATGAGCATTGTCATTCTCTCGTTGGCTGGGAATTTCATGTTGATGAGCATTGTCATTTTCCTGTTGGTTGGGAATTTCCTGTTGATGAGCATTGTCATTTTCCTGTTGGTTGGAATTTTCATGTTGATGAGCATGGACATTTTCTTGTTGGTTGGGAATTTCCTGTTGATGAGCATTGTCATTTTCCTGTTGGTTGGGAATTTCCTGTTGATGAGCATTGTCATCCTCCCGTTGGTTGGGAATTTCCTGTTGATGAGCATTGTCATCCTCCCGTTGGTTGGGAATTTCGTGTTGATGAGCTTGGACATTGTGCCATTTATTGGGAATTTCATGTTGATGAGCATGGATATTGTGCCATTTATTGGGAATTTCATGTTGATGAGCATGGATATTGTGCCATTGATTGGGAATTTCATGTTGATGAGCATGGATATTGTGCCATTGGTTGGGAATTTCATGTTGATGAGCATGGTCATTGTGCCATTGATTGGGAATTTCATGTTGATGAGCATGGACATTGTGCCATTGGTTGGGAATTTCATGTTGATGAGCATGGACATTGTGCCATTGATTAGGAATCCCATGTTGATGAGCATGGACATTGTGCCATTGATTGGAATTTCATGTTGATGAGCATGGACATTGTGATATTGATTGGGAATTTCATGTTGATGAGCATGGACATTGTGCCATTGATTGGGAATTTCATGTTGATGAGCATGGACATTGTGCCATTGATTGGGAATTTCATGTTGATGAGCATGGACATTGTGCCATTGATTGGGAATTTCATGTTGATGAGCATGGACATTGTGCCATTGATTGGGAATTTCATGTTGATGAGCATGGACATTGTTTGGTTGGGAATTTCATGTTGATGAGCATGGACATTGTGCCATTGATTGGGAATTTCATGTTGATGAGCATGGACATTGTGCCATTGATTGGGAATTTCATGTTGATGAGCATGGACATTGTGCCATTGGTTGGGAATTTCATGTTGATGAGCATGGACATTGTGCCATTGGTTGGGAATTTCATGTTGATGAGCATGGACATTGTGCCATTGATTAGGAATCCCATGTTGATTAGCATGGACATTGTGCCATTGATTGGGAATTTCCTGTTGATTAGCATGGACATTGTGCCATTGATTGGGAATTTCATGTTGATGAGCATGGACAAAGTGCCATGGATTGGGAATTTCCTGTTGTTGAGCATGGACATTGTGCCATTGATTGGGAATTTCATGTTGATGAGCATGGACATTGTGCCATTGATTGGGAATTTCATGTTGATGAGCATGGACATTGTGCCATTGGTTGGGAATTTCATGTTGATGAGCATGGACATTGTGCCATTGATTGGGAATTTCATGTTGATGAGCATGGACATTGTGCCATTGATTAGGAATCTCATGTTGATGAGCATGGACATTGTGCCATTGATTGGGAATTTCCTGTTGATGAGCATGGACATTGTGCCATTGATTGGGAATTTCATGTTGATGAGCATGGACATTGTGCCATGGATTGGGAATTTCTGTTGATGAGCATGGACATTGTGCCATTGATTGGGAATTTCATGTTGATGAGCATGGACATTGTGCCATTGATTGGGAATTTCCTGTTGATGAGCATGGACATTGTGCCATTGATTGGGAATTTCATGTTGATGAGCATGGACAAAGTGCCATTGATTGGGAATTTCCTGTTGATGAGCATGGACATTGTGCCATTGATTGGGAATTTCATGTTGATGAGCATGGACAAAGTGCCATTGATTGGGAATTTCATGTTGATGAGCATGGACAAAGTGCCATTGATTGGGAATTTCCTGTTGTTGAGCATGGACATTGTGCCATTGATGGGAATTTCATGTTGATGAGCATGGACAAAGTGCCATTGATTGGGAATTTCCTGTTGATGAGCATGGACATTGTGCCATTGATTGGGAATTTCCTGTTGATGAGCATGGACATTGTGCCATTGATTGGGAATTTCATGTTGATGAGCATGGACAAAGTGCCATTGATTGGGAATTTCCTGTTGATGAGCATGGACATTGTGCCATTGATTGGGAATTTCATGTTGATGAGCATGGACATTGTGCCATTGATTGGGAATCCCATGTTGATGAGCATGGACATTGTGCCATTGATTGGGAATTTCCTGTTGATGAGCATGGACATTGTGCCATTGATTGGGAATCCCATGTTGATGAGCATGGACAAAGTGCCATTGATTGGGAATTTCATGTTGATGAGCATGGACATTGTGCCATGATTGGGAATTTCATGTTGATGAGCATGGACATTGTGCCATTGATTGGGAATCCCATGTTGATGAGCATGGACATTGTGCCATTGATTGGGAATCCCATGTTGATGAGCATGGACATTGTGCCATTGATTGGGAATTTCCTGTTGATGAGCATGGACATTGTGCCATTGATTGGGAATTTCATGTTGATGAGCATTGACAAATTGCCATTGATTGGGAATTTCATGTTGATGAGCATTGACATTGTGCCATTGATTAGGAATTTCATGTTGATGAGCATGGACATTGTGCCATTGATTGGGAATTTCATGTTGATGAGCATGGACATTGTGCCATTGATTGGGAATATGATAGTGATCACCATTCCCATTAGACCATTCATTTGGAGCTTCCTGCTGTTCAACATTAGCAAACTAAAAATATTCAGAAAGCAGACATTTGAGGAAACGAATGAATAAACGTATTTATATCTCGTCGATTTTGAAATTAAAATTACTTTTCATCAACGGATTGTGCCCATGCTCATTCATATTTTGTTTGTCAACTTTGTCATCCTAAAATAATTGTACAAAAGACAAATGATAAAAAATCTTTCCTTTAATTAGTCCTTGTTAAGTTTTTCGATTCTACAATTTCAACTAACTTTATTCTTGGATGACGGCGGAGTATATCCTTGATCTTTTGTGGTTTCATCACCGCAATTCGATTCCTAAAACATTACTAGAATATGCATCTTGGCTTTATGGTTACTTTGAAAGTTTCACGCAAGAAAATATGTGTACGTGAAAATGCCAGAAAATTATACAAATCACAAACACCGTTTCGAGGAAATTCAAACGTACATCTTCATCAATGACATCTTTGACAACATCAGCCACAACGCTTGCTGCTTCTTTTGCAGCCTCTTCATCCTGTGACTTTGGCTGAAAAATATCATATGTCAGTGTAAACGTCAAGAAAAAACGCATCATTCAACATTTTTATGCTTTATTTTGATGATATGAAAATACGTCTTTTTCTATAGAAAAAAGCATATTTTCACCAGAGTTATATGACGAACGTATTTTGGCAAATAGAGACTTTCCAAAGATTTCGAGACTTACCTCTTTAAACAGACAATCTGATCGAGATGTATCTTCGGACGAGTCCTGCAAATAGCCATTAACGCATGATTTCGTAAATTCCTTTGTAATCTGCGTTATTCTATTTCAACTCACGTGATTTTGTCATCTGATTACCTTATTTCTAGCCTGATAAATTTCTGTTATGCTATACACGTTTTACAACCCGTGTCCTAACATGCTTTTTTTATCGTGCAGCATTCCTAATTCATGCTAGCTCTCTCTCTCTTATTTGATAAAGGTTATTTACCATGCACCCAAACAACGTTTTTTACTAAAGAATTGAGGATACACACGCGTGGATATTCAGAAAGGATACACACGCGTGGATATTCAGAAAGGATACACACGCGTGGATATGCATTCAGAATGTTAAATTGATGAAGAAAATATTTTGCAGTTGATTATACACTGTAAATAAACTTTGTTTTACTGTTTTCCTTTGGTTTTTAGGTAACTTTTGGTATTTTTTGTAACTTACCGTATCATCTTCATCAAGATCATCGGAGCAATGTCCTTCATTCATATAACTCGGCTGAGGTAAAAATAAGAATGGAACATGTTAGAGATATTCAGGAGGCTATTTTGTTTGAACAAACGTCAACAAATTGCAGCAAAAAATGAAGCACAGATGAAATTACTCCACGTACCACATCAATCAGTTCAAACAAATCGTTTTTTCCAACGTAATTGTATTCCTGCAGTTTTTTGTAAATCTACACACGGGAAAACCATAACATATTAACATTTCGCAAATGAACAGCCCACTTGTTTTGTGGATTGATCATTCGCGAAAAACAAACCATAAAATCGTATAGTTCATACCTGATGCAACAGTGATATAAAATTCCTGGATCCCATTACTCCGACCAACGACTGCAAAGTAAATAAATTTCCAAATATAAACAATATCTTTTCAAGTATGTCTTCGTTATTAATGATGACGTGTTTTACACGATAGAAGAATCTCACCGTATCGGGATGAACATCGAGAAGGCCAATTTGTTTGGCTGTTCTCTGTGATAAAAGGTAACAAGTCAGTAAAACTACATACAATTTAATGAATTTGAAAAACGCCATTTGCAAGTCTCGTCTTGAGAAGACTAAGATGACTAAGTAATATAAATTTTCTACTTACTACGATAGTCGGTTGATGCATCAGAACGTTTATCTTCACGTACAGAACCTGGAGATATTAAAGAAAATTATGAATTACGTAATGTATACGTCACAGACTATATATATGAAGATGACGTATACATTCTTAATACAATGACCACTGTCTAACTGTACAGGAGACAATGTTTGGTACGAGATAACTAACTTCTTTGCGATAGTTGTATAAAGTCAAGATAAGTCTTCAAGAAAATGAATTTTCAGGTTCAAATGTTTGTTCATTTTTCTGATCAATTTCTGGATTAACTAACCCAACAAAAATCATGGGTTCCTTTAAAAAACGGCAATATTTGAAAAATATATAAATGCTGAAATTATTTTGTTTTTTACTTACAATGTTGAGATTATTAAATAATGTCTGGCTCATGTAGGCTGCTGTCAACGGCTGCAAAAATAAAATCATAAAGTTTTCACAAGCTCCATGAAATCCTTATTCGATCTCGCAAGTTGGAAATTGCTCACCGTTCTTGTAAACAAATATGACTTTACCTCCGAAGGATCTATAGACACACGTGGCTCAGATTTGTTCTTTTCCTTCGAATGGCATGACTCGTCCTCAGAATCATCCGAAAGGTCCTCACGCTCCAATATTTCAATGTCGTCCAACTCATCTTCTTGGGTATCCTTCGATCCCATGATGTCATTGTCAATGTCATCTTCGTCTTTCATATTCTGAAGGATGTGATGTTCGTCATGCTCCTGCACTTCAATGTCGTCCAACTCATCTTCTTGGGTATCCTTCGATCCCACGATGTCATCATTGTTAATGTCATCTTCGTCCTTCATATTCTGAAGGATGTGATGTTCGTTATGCTCCTGCACTTCAATGTCGTCCAACTCATCTTCTTGGGTATCTTTCGATCCCACGATGTCATCATCAATTGATGACATCGTGGGATCAAAGGATACCCAAGAAGATGATCAAGGATACCCAAGAATGATGATCATGGATACCCAAGAATGATGATCATCAATTGTGATCATCATTCAAGACGAATAGAAAATATCTTTTTAGAAAATTATATAACTATCAACGAAAAAATTACTCACGCTCTTTGGAATGTTTTCAACATTCAGATTATGAACCAGCATTAGTTTCGTTTCCAACACAGGAATCTGAAATTGGTCGAGAGATATTATCAATAAGTGTGATGGTAAAAAGCAAATAATCTTTATGTAAAGATGATTATCGTGTTTTAAAGATCTTTCGACAATCGATAACTTACAAGTTTTGATGTCATATCTATGTATGGTATTATAGATAACTCTTTCTGCTTTGGAACAAGTTGGATCTGAAATTCATGGCAACATACGACAAATCAATATTTATTGGTTTATCAGATTGGATGTTCTTTACCATTTATATGTAACTGGCATTAAATTAAACTCACGCTCTTTTCCATATTGATCTCGTACAGATTATAAGCAACCACCAGTTTTCTTTCTGACATTGGTATCTAAAGTTTATTTAGTGACGTGATTGTACATAGAGTAAAGGTGATTGGATTTGAAAGATCTTTTGACAAACGATAAACTTACAAGTTTTGATGTCATATCTATGTATGGTATTATAGATAACTCCTTCTGCTTTGGAACAAGTTGGATCTGAAATTTGTGGCAACATATGACAAGTTAACATTTAGTGATTTATCAGCTTAAAGATAACATTTGTTATGTATAACTTATATCAAAATGAACTCACGCTCTTTTCCATCTTGACAACATACGGAATATAAGCAAAAACCAGTTTTCTTTCAAACATTGGCATCTAAATTTGTTATTTAAAGAGATGTTGTAAATTAGAGATGGCAAATAAAATTAAAGGTGATTAGCTAGATATACTGAGAGATCTTTTAATAATCGATAAACTTACAAGTTTTGATGTCATATCAATGTATGGTATTATAGATAACTCCTTCTGCTTTGGAACAAGATGGACCTGAAATTTATGGCAATATATGACAAATTAACATTTAGTGATTTATCAGCTTAAAGATAACATTTGTTATGTATAACTTATATTAAAATGAACTCACGCTCTTTTCCATCTTGACAACATACGGAATATAAGCAAAAACCAGTTTTCTTTCAAACATTGGCATCTAAATTTTTTGTTTTAAGAGTTATTGTAAACTAGTCATGGTACATAAAAATTAAACGTGATTAGCTAGATATATTAAAATATCTTTTAATAATCGATAAACTTACAAGTTTTGATGTCATATCAATGTATGGTATTATAGATAACTCTTTCTGCTTTGGAACAAACTGAATCTGAAATTTATGGCAATATATGACAAGTCAATATTTATTGGTTTATCAGATTTAGATCTTCATCAAACATTTATTTTAAATAACTAATATTAAATTGATCTTACCCTCTTTTCCATCTTGATCACATACGGATTATAAGCAAGCACCAGTTTTCTTTCCGACATTGGCATCTAAATTTTTTTGAGAGATAGTTTCAATTAGTGTGATTGTACGTAAAAATTACAGTTGATTACATTCTAAAGATATTTGAATATCGATAAACTTACAAGTTTTGATGTCATATCAATGTATGGTATTATAGATAACTGTTTCTGCTTTGGAACAAGTTGGATCTGAAATTCATGGCAACATATGACAAATTAATATTCAGTGATTTATCAAATATAGATCTTGATCTAACAGATACAAGTTGACTTTGAACTTACGCTCTTTGGTGTGTTCGCCAAATAAGGCTTAAAAACACAAGCTGGTTTTCTTTTTAAGACGGGCATCTGAAATTTTCACGACATATTGTCAATTGAGAAATGGTTCGCGAAGAGCCACGGGGCTCAGGTACGATCACTAACTACATTTGAAAGATGACTCACTAAACTCACAAATTTGGATCTCATGTTGATGTATGTTATGATGGCCAACTGTTGCATCTTTTGAATGAAATGAAATATGAATATGGTTGGTGCGTATGATCATAAAAAATAGTTCAGTTAGTTCAAACATAAAGTCAAATGATGTCAAATGTCAAATGAAATAAAGTCAAATGATCAAATGTCAAATGATGTCAAATGTCAAATGAAATAAAGTCAAATGATGTCAAATATCAAATGAAATAAAGTCAAATGATGTCAAATGTCAAATGAAATAAAGTCAAATAAAGTCAATAAAGTCAAATGAAACATTTATCAATTTAAGAAAGATTTGACTAACGTTTTCTGGTACATTGACCTCGTGAGGTTCACGATCAACGACAAGTTTTCTTTTTAACACGGGCATCTAAAATTTTTCACGATATTAGTCAACTTCATGGTTTCATAGATAGCCAAGAGGTAGATAACGAAAACTCACAAGCTTGGAACTCATGTCAATGTATGGTATCATAGCCAATTGTTGTTGCTTTTGTGGAGCTTGCGCCTAAAATTCGTTTGCATGAATGAAACAGGTTATATTATGGGGAAAGTATGGATCATCAACATAATGAATGTTTAATATAAAACGGATAGCCAAGAGCAAGCCTTTGTGCTACGTAGCAAATTAATCAAATAAGTATTGATTTTACACTCAGACACAACGTGCAAAGTTGGCTCATTTGGTAAAAGTTTTACTTTTCAATTCTTACACAATGACTCAATCACTACAGTCACGAAATGTTAGGGTTCGTAGCATTTTATGTGCAGTAAATGTTGGCTACATAAACGATGGGGCACTACCACTGGCCAGTCCATTTTAGCTTACTCCTCCAGAGCAAATATATACACGCAATGATATCATGTCTGAAATTTACACAGTGAAAATGACGAAACACGTTTGCTGGATACGGTAATGTCTTCATATACTTGACGTGGAGCTTAATTTCACCAGCGAAAAGTATTAAAGACTATACAGAGTTTTTATAGAGTTATCATAGATTTCCTGTCTACATGTGTCCAAAAAAGTTAAGTAAAAAACACAGATGATTTCTATGTACGTAATGCATGATCATGTAAAGATGACATGACTTCATGAAGAAATTAATGTACGTAATGCATGATCATGTAAAGATGCCATGGCTTCATGAAGAAATTAATGTACGTAATGCATGATCATGTAAAGATGCCATGACTTCATGAAGAAATTAATGTACGTAATGCATGATCATGTAAAGATGACATGACTTCATGAAGAAATTAATGTACGTAATGCATGATCATGTAAAGATGACATGACTTCATGAAGAAATTAATGTACGTAATGCATGATCATGTAAAGATGCCATGGCTTCATGAAGAAATTAATGTACGTAATGCATGATCATGTAAAGATGACATGACTTCATGAAGAAATTAATGTACGTAATGCATGATCATGTAAAGATGACATGACTTCATGAAGAAATTAATGTACGTAATGCATGATCATGTAAAGATGCCATGGCTTCATGAAGAAATTAATGTACGTAATGCATGATCATGTAAAGATGACATGACTTCATGAAGAAATTAATGTACGTAATGCATGATCATGTAAAGATGCCATGGCTTCATGAAGAAATTAATGTACGTAATGCATGATCATGTAAAGATGCCATGGCTTCATGAAGAAATTAATGTACGTAATGCATGATCATGTAAAGATGCCATGGCTTCATGAAGAAATTAATGTACGTAATGCATGATCATGTAAAGATGCCATGGCTTCATGAAGAAATTAATGTACGTAATGCATGATCATGTAAAGATGCCATGGCTTCATGAAGAAATTAATGTACGTAATGCATGATCATGTAAAGATGCCATGGCTTCATGAAGAAATTAATGTACGTAATGCATGATCATGTAAAGATGCCATGGCTTCATGAAGAAATTAATGTACGTAATGCATGATCATGTAAAGATGCCATGGCTTCATGAAGAAATTAATGTACGTAATGCATGATCATGTAAAGATGACATGACTTCATGAAGAAATTAATGTACGTAATGCATGATCATGTAAAGATGACATGACTTCATGAAGAAATTAATGTACGTAATGCATGATCATGTAAAGATGCCATGGCTTCATGAAGAAATTAATGTACGTAATGCATGATCATGTAAAGATGACATGACTTCATGAAGAAATTAATGTACGTAATGCATGATCATGTAAAGATGACATGACTTCATGAAGAAATTAATGTACGTAATGCATGATCATGTAAAGATGACATGACTTCATGAAGAAATTAATGTACGTAATGCATGATCATGTAAAGATGACATGACTTCATGAAGAAATTAATGTACGTAATGCATGATCATGTAAAGATGCCATGGCTTCATGAAGAAATTAATGTACGTAATGCATGATCATGTAAAGATGACATGACTTCATGAAGAAATTAATGTACGTAATGCATGATCATGTAAAGATGACATGACTTCATGAAGAAATTAATGTACGTAATGCATGATCATGTAAAGATGACATGGCTTCATGAAGAAATTAATGTACGTAATGCATGATCATGTAAAGATGACATGACTTCATGAAGAAATTAATGTACGTAATGCATGATCATGTAAAGATGCCATGGCTTCATGAAGAAATTAATGTACGTAATGCATGATCATGTAAAGATGACATGACTTCATGAAGAAATTAATGTACGTAATGCATGATCATGTAAAGATGCCATGGCTTCATGAAGAAATTAATGTACGTAATGCATGATCATGTAAAGATGACATGACTTCATGAAGAAATTAATGTACGTAATGCATGATCATGTAAAGATGACATGACTTCATGAAGAAATTAATGTACGTAATGCATGATCATGTAAAGATGACATGACTTCATGAAGAAATTAATGTACGTAATGCATGATCATGTAAAGATGACATGGCTTCATGAAGAAATTAATGTACGTAATGCATGATCATGTAAAGATGCCATGGCTTCATGAAGAAATTAATGTACGTAATGCATGATCATGTAAAGATGCCATGGCTTCATGAAGAAATTAATGTACGTAATGCATGATCATGTAAAGATGCCATGGCTTCATGAAGAAATTAATGTACGTAATGCATGATCATGTAAAGATGCCATGGCTTCATGAAGAAATTAATGTACGTAATGCATGATCATGTAAAGATGACATGGCTTCATGAAGAAATTAATGTACGTAATGCATGATCATGTAAAGATGACATGGCTTCATAAGAAATTAATGTACGTAATGCATGATCATGTAAAGATGACATGGCTTCATGAAGAAATTAATGTACGTAATGCATGATCATGTAAAGATGACATGACTTCATGAAGAAATTAATGTACGTAATGCATGATCATGTAAAGATGCCATGACTTCATGAAGAAATTAATGTACGTAATGCATGATCATGTAAAGATGACATGGCTTCATGAAGAAATTAATGTACGTAATGCATGATCATGTAAAGATGCCATGGCTTCATGAAGAAATTAATGTACGTAATGCATGATCATGTAAAGATGACATGGCTTCATGAAGAAATTAATGTACGTAATGCATGATCATGTAAAGATGACATGGCTTCATGAAGAAATTAATGTACGTAATGCATGATCATGTAAAGATGCCATGGCTTCATGAAGAAATTAATGTACGTAATGCATGATCATGTAAAGATGACATGGCTTCATGAAGAAATTAATGTACGTAATGCATGATCATGTAAAGATGACATGGCTTCATGAAGAAATTAATGTACGTAATGCATGATCATGTAAAGATGCCATGACTTCATGAAGAAATTAATGTACGTAATGCATGATCATGTAAAGATGACATGACTTCATGAAGAAATTAATGTACGTAATGCATGATCATGTAAAGATGACATGACTTCATGAAGAAATTAATGTACGTAATGCATGATCATGTAAAGATGACATGACTTCATGAAGAAATTAATGTACGTAATGCATGATCATGTAAAGATGACATGACTTCATGAAGAAATTAATGTACGTAATGCATGATCATGTAAAGATGACATGACTTCATGAAGAAATTAATGTACGTAATGCATGATCATGTAAAGATGCCATGACTTCATGAAGAAATTAATGTACGTAATGCATGATCATGTAAAGATGCCATGGCTTCATGAAGAAATTAATGTACGTAATGCATGATCATGTAAAGATGACATGACTTCATGAAGAAATTAATGTACGTAATGCATGATCATGTAAAGATGACTTCATGAAGAAATTAATGTACGTAATGCATGATCATGTAAAGATGCCATGGCTTCATGAAGAAATTATTTAGACTTGTTTTGATTAGAAAAGTGATTAGCTAAAATGTTTGCTTATGTAAGTTTTGTTCTGCTCAAGTCAAACATAGTGTAGCTAAAAGTTCAAGATGAAATCGGGATGCGTTGAGAGCAATAAAATACTGTTTTGTTTTGGTGAATGTTTTTGTATGTTTTCCAAAAATCGAAAACAATTGAAATTCTTGAAAATGCGTCGAGTTAAGTTAAAGGAAGTAGTCTTTCGTCTTTTGTTCCGTAGGCAATTTCGTCTTTATGAAAATTGGACTTCATGTTTACATTCCAAAACGGTTGAAAATTTTCCGAAATGAATGCACTCTCATTTATTCCAATTCAATTATCAGTAACCTCATCAAACTTTTCTCACCAATCACAATCGTGCGCATGCACTTCGTAGCACAATCGCTAAAGGAGACCTGGGTCTGAGTTTCTTGTTGCTATGACAAATAATTAGTTTTAGCAAGAAAGCGCAGAAAACCTTTCGATTCATAGCGAAAAAATGCTACACTCGTATTACTCATAAGAAAGCTATTGACCCAAGAAGAAAAAAAAACAAAAACACACGAAAAAAATGTTTTTATTTACTGTAAAGAAAAAACACACAATTAGCTATAACATAATTCATTACAAAGTAATATAATTGCGACAAAAACTTCAGAAAACTTTATAAAAATGTTTAACTTGTTGCGTTATAGCTACTCACCCAAAAAGAGCATATTTAGCAATTAAACTTTACAAGATACTATAAAAATGATTGGTACTTACTTCGTCTGAATTTTTTTCAGAAAGATCAACTTTTGATGTCTTCTCCGCGATCGTGACGCTGAACATTTTGGATTCGGAGTTCGAGACGCAGTTTTTTCTGCGTTCTCGTTTGCTTTTTTTATCCTTTCCGAAGCAGCAAGAGAAACAGTTACCCATTTTCTCGTTGCTACTTAACTGCAATGAAAATATCTCTCTTTCGAAATTGCTTTGAAAATATGTAGAACCTTGCGATGCGAGCTATTGCTGCGAAATGAACAAATTAACATTGCGTGTTTATTCTGACGATAGTAATTGGCTCCGTGAGCATTGTTACGTCACTAATTGGTTCCGTGCGCTTTGTTACACCATTAATTCTAAAGAGCCCGGTGCATGCTGGTCGTGCCTTGGGAACTCTAGCACAACCTGTGACGTTAAATCATGGCAAACACACTGAAGTGGATCCTAGTGTTGTATAGCTGGCTGTTCTCTAGACAGTTATTGAGGTCGTATATGGCATTGTATTGAAATTAGGTATAGTAGTTCTCCTAATAATTAAACTTCAGCAGAACAAGCGAGTAAATTTGAAACACTGACTACGGAGCCTGTTCAAAAGAGGACGGAGGAGAATAAGATGAGAAAATGTATGTGTATGTGGGACGCTGAATTCTCCTCCCTCCCCGAATCAATTGCTTGTCTATGGAAAAAGTGTAAAGCAGAGGCATGTCTGCTATGTTATGCAGGCTGCGAACCGTGACTGAAAAAAGCCAAAAAAACTTAATTGATGTTAGGACAGTGAACACTTATTTTTTGCGTGAATTAAGTGTTTTTATTATGTTAGTATTGACTCAAAAAATTTCTTCGTAATATGATTGGCTGATGTCTCGTAAGGTTGCAGTATTTAACAAATGGAAACACAAAGGAAAATTCATCATTTATATTTTCAGTAAATCTGTGCTCTTCAATATGGCGAACCGCTGTGGCCAAATATTCATTCGAAATGTGTTATTTTTTTCATTATTTTGTCATAGTTTCTCAAGCATATACGGTTTGGAACTTGCAAGCTCGAATGGATATGTGAGAAGAGAACATTCACTTTCGAAACCATTTCAAGGTGCTGCATTTTAAAAACTATTTTTCTTCGGTCGAACCGGCTGCTCGTGCTCGGCGCCCCGACGGACTTTTGAGCCTTCCAAAATTTGACGGAAATCAAATTTGGATCGCTCTCAAAACATGCACTTTTTTGTATATGCGCCTTCTTGACACTTCTTAAGCGTTGCTGCTGGTTATTTTTAATTTATGTAGAAATAAATTGACATTGATGAAAATCTACAATTGATTTGCTAACTCAGCATGTTCAGAATTAATCAATAGTAGTATTTCAAAGTTTTCCAACATGTAAGGCGTTTTGTCATAGTCCTTAGAGCTTACAGCAGTTTTTATTTAGTTGGTAGCACTAGCCTGCAATTTTGGGATTTTGGTGGTGACACATTGATAACCAGTAATCATATCCGATTGACCGAGGATCATCAAAGTCAAAAAGGGTTTATTTGGAACACATTGGTCAGTGGTAATAAAATAAGATTTGTTTTATGTCCGAGTAGTGAATTAACATGAAAACTTCTTTACCATACAGCCTGTAACAGCTCGCGATTGGGAAATCCATATCCATTTTTCAGTTCATGGTTCTGGAGATTCACTTTATGGAGATGGCTTTGCGTTCCATTATGCTAAAGAGAAAATGGAATTCGGTAATAAATTGAGTTTATTTAGTAAATTTCATTAAATCTATGGATGTGGAAAGTTCATATGATAAATTTATGCACAAATGTTATTTGTATTGTTTAGGTCCAGTCTTTGGAAGCAAAAATTTCTTCTCAGGACTTGCTGTTTTCTTTGACACTTATAGTAATGCAAATGGTGATAACGCTGTAAGATTGATATCCATTGAAGTTTTCTTCAAAGCAAACCACATTTCAGCAATGATTTTTCTTCTTGATATAGGCAGACCACCCTTATATATCAGCTATGGTAAACAATGGTACCTTAAACTACGACCATAATCGTGATGGTGCTTATTCACAAATACAGGGCTGCTCGGTTTGTATTTTACCTCTTGTATAACTGTTTTCATGATTTCAAGCGCTCATTGAATATCTTCATGGTCCAATTTTGACAGTTCAGATATTTTCTTAGGCTTCTTTTCGCAATAATGGAGCGGAAACATATGCTTTGATTCAGTACTTGGGTAGCAAAAGAAACTTTAACAGTTATGACAGACATTGATAGTGATGGTGAATGGAAAGCATGTCTTCAGGTCTCTGGTATACGACTTCCGACTTCATATTTCATTGGTCTTAGCGCTGCTACTGGCAATTTGGCAGGTGGGTCACTGTAAAATGGCTTATGAATTTCTCAGGAGCAAAAAAGATATTGATAAAATACAAGAAAAGTCGTTCTTCTGAACTGTGTTATGGTAAAGTTGTGTCGGCCAAGCATTTCTTTGTTTCCCTGAAAAGATTGAGTAAATAGGATTTTGGTAGTTTTTTTGCTTTCAAACGTAACACATTGCTGACAAAGACATTAAAGAACGAGTATAACAGTAATGCCTTGCGCGCTTAGCGAGCCATAGCCATTTTAGGGACATCCAATGATGGCGTCATTTTAGGTTGTTAGTTCCACAAAATGTCTACTTTCCCTGCCAAATCTGGTCTATTAACGCTAAAGCGTGGTAGGGCATGAAATGAAGACGAAATAGCAAGAGTAAAGTTTGGAGAAAGACGTTATTTTAAGTTCAGTTATTCAGTTGAACTATCTGCATCATATATCAGAAGTTTAATTCCAGTAGTAAACACAGGCGTGCTGTAATATTCATTCTTTGGATGTCGCGTTACCTGTTAAGATCATCTTTGAAAACGTCGTTTTATCGTGGTACTAATCATAATTCCTGCACAACAGATAATCACGACATCGTCGGTTTGAAATTCTACGAGTTGGAAGTTGAGAAAGATGAACAAACAGTTAGAAGTACAGAAAACACCGATGACATTGTCCCATTTGTAAAAGCGGAACCTGTTAAAGGTCAGTAAGTTCAATACATATCATGGCTCATACATACTAGGGCACGATTTTGTTTTGCATACCTTGTACAATATCATGACTCATCATACCAGCGACGTTGACATTTAAAATTTTTTTCTTCCAGAGCCTGTCGAGAATTCCCCGAAAGGACACTATACACGGCGAATGACGAAAGCGTTCACGTGGTTTTTCTGGATTTTGGTGGTCGGTGTCATTGTTTGTGTGGTCGGATTTTTTGTATACAAGAAGCAACAGGAGGCTGCACGCAAACGATTTTTAACGAAATGAACAAATATCGCTTCTGCATCGCTAAAAATTTGTAATCTTTACACAAAATGCCTCAAGACAGATGGCGGCATGTCTATTTTACCAGAATGCATTTCAATCTTCACACAAAACGGATGAATGTGTGTTTGTGCGTGTGTAATCTCGAAACGACGTCTGTTCAACAATATGTACGTCAAATCGAATTTGGAGTATTCATAACTTATTGGAAAATACTCATCCGTCATCTCCAGTTATTGGAAAAATACTCATCCGTCATCTCCAGTTATTGGAAAAATACTCATCCGTCATCTCCAGTTATTGGAAAAATTCTCATCCGCCATCTGCAGTTAATTTCACAATCGAGAAGTTACAAATTGTTGCGTTTGAATTGCCACATTGTTTGAGGCAACAACACACTCACCGCCTGTTGTAGCTCTATAAATAATTCAAAATAAATTATCGCGGGAATGCGGGCTCAAACAGGTCGTTGAAAGACTAATCACTCGAACTTTTTTTTTCATTGGCAAAGTAATTCAACCATAGTTAACTGGAAGAAACAAGGCGCCGCCGCGCAATGCATAACGGTATCAATTTACTGGTTAACGTATATGTTTACTGTGCTCACTATTTTAGCTACTTTTTCTATCATTCAATAATCTGTGTATACATCACAAATCCGGACGCTAGCAAATATCCAAATTACATTTGGATAAAAATATTTCGGATTTTCTTTATTTGAAAATTAGACGAAGACATAATTAATTAATTGAAGACATCGTTACAAGTAAAATACGTGTTTTTTTAAACAAAGGATAGAACGCTTCGTCTATCCATGTAAGTTAAATAATATCAGCCTGTCAGCCTCTGTAATACATCGTGCTAAGGTTCATTTTACAGACAAGAACTCCTACACTGCAGCTATATGATTAGCTGCAAGCAAGTCTTGACACAAAATAAGGTGAGTTGAATGATGGCGAGCCCTTAGGGCCACCGCCATCACCAATCGTCATTAAAAATTACCTAAAATTTCATACAATCAAAGTGCATCTATCGCAGCCTTGAATTACCCACACATACCTGTCAATACGATAACATACATAAGTTACTATTTACCTATAAAATCGATAGTTTCTAGAAATCTGCTCTTTTCATTGGTCGAGATGTGTCGAATTGATCGAGAGGGACAAGTGGATTTACTTCACTATATCTTGTCGACTTGGTTAACCTACGAGGTGATGAGTCATCGTCTGCGAAACTCCTTTGAGTGACAAGCGGTTTCATGTTGGGCGCTTTCATTGTCCAGTTGACCTGAAAAAGAACTACGTTTTAGAGATCGTCAAACGTGACCTTGTCATATACGTCACTATTTGCTCTTTTTCTTCAATCCAATTGGTCATTCCAATTGACAAGATACTTGCAGTCAAGCAACTATGCCCCAGCAATCACAAATAGCTACACATGTAATGATCATCGTTGGTAGTAATCTATACACATCTATCATCGACAAAACCTTAATGTAACACAACCTAAAGTTTGATGGGCGAATATAATATTTACTCATGAATAAAACACGATATTTAAGAAATAAAAGATGTTTACTGTGTTTGCACAGGCTTATGCAAACCGAGGAGATCTTCGGAAGAACTCGAAAGCAGATCAGTGCAAGCCCGAGACCGAAGGTTGAGGGTTGCACATGCTCGAGAGGTTTGCATAAGCCTGTGTAAACACGAAAAACATCTTTTATTTCTTTTAAAAATAAAAATGCAAAAAAGACAAACATTTTAATTTTTCTTCTAAAATGTATTCATGCTCAATTTGCAAATTCTCTATGACTGATTGATTGTTATGATTGGTTGAGCTCAGTTGTGTTTTGCAAAGGCCAATGCAAACACAGCTCTAGACCAATCAGCGCACACGTTTCATTGTGTTTAATTTATAATATGATTTAATAACTTACCACTGATCTGTTAGAACCTCGAAACTAGAAACGGAATAATGGCAAATCTTAATAATTATGAAATTCAACGTTGAGTCGAATCACTTGTTTTTTTGCTCACTTACCTTAGTAGAAGCGACATAAGAAGCTTTGACTGTTAGTATAACAGCATTCATCAAGTTTTTCGCAGCTGTTATAAGAGAAGTTGCACTTTCCAACTGATAAAGAGAAAAGGAAACTTTAAATCATGGTCTCGAAGTTAGCTAGTATATTAATTAAGCAAAGGAGACACAATTAGCTCCGCATATTTCATTTCAAGTTGGACGCTATGGCAACTACCGCTAAAGTGGTCAATTTATTTCGAAAAAGAAAGTCACAAATATCTCCGCTGGCAACGGACTTACCGCTGACACAACTTCGACGCCACTGATTGTCTGGATATCAGCTTTCACTCGACTGGTGATGGTGAGTTGATGTGAAAAAAGAGAGACGCGTTGAATGTATGCGAGAAGATCGTTCTTCGATTGAGAATGAGGACACTAAAGTCAGGAAAAGAAACTTGGATGCAACACGAGTGCGAAAATCAAATACATGCAATAGAGAGCAATAAAAAGTACGGCCCTTTGGGGCCGGCAGGAAGCCTGGATAGCGTTGTCCATTGGGCAGCAATTTTTTTAAACTTTTATAAAACCTTTTAAAAAGCAAAAAATATAAGATTCGAATTTGAGCAATCACTGAAATAAAATATTTTTTCGAAGATAACGAATATTCTCGTAAGTAAAATACAAACATCTTTTTACAAGTTTGAAAATTTTTCCTATCCAATGGATAACGCTATCCAGGCTTCGTGCAACCGGTCTCTGCACTATAATATTTACAAGAAACTCAAGCTTTCATTTTGTTTTTTTTAGAAAGACAATCTCTTTCGTTTGCTTAAATATCCAGATTAGACAATTGGCAAACGCAAAGGGTAACATTGACATTGTCTAAAGGACAGATTTTATCTTCCACTGGATACCATCGCAAGAACATCCTATCTTGTTGAGACATAAATGTAATTTTCTCACAATAATTAAGTTTAAAATAAACTGAAAGAATTTGCCCGGGCATTAGAGACGTACAATGCTCACATAATGAAGCATTTCAGGCGGCAAAAATTTGCCCTTGTTGTTCGCTATTATGTTTGCTCAACAAATAAATCACAAGCACCTTTTCAGCAACTTCTGTTGATAATTGATTTATTCTTTCGCCAGCTTTTGCAATACGCTACAACCAAACGCAAACAAAAAAATATCAGAATCACCCACAAGAGGAATAATTAACATAAATTTTCTACATATTGTAAGCCGGCACTTTGAAGTCATGCCCATTGAACTAAAATACATGCTTTCCATGTATTTTAGTTCAATGGTCATGCCACGACATAGATATGGCCAGAATTATTACATTGACGTCACGTTATTATATTGTGACTATTTTTTTAATTTTCTCTTGTGCTGTGTTGTACATTGACATACATATAAGGCAGATTTTTCTCTACTTTTTTTAGAATATCAATCACAAGTCGGAATTCATCTGCTTCAGAATCGACACTCACCTTTGCCGCGGTTATAACGTCCATGGTTGTCTTCAATGTTCCAGTACCTCTGTTAATATAAAAAAACAAACAGCGTTTGTTTGATCTCAGATGACACGAGGAAAGTCGTGATTAACCAACGTACCTTGTAAAGTCCGACATATCCATCATCATCACACACATCTTCTTAGCCAAAACAACAATCTCGTTGCCAGATTCATCCCACTGTGACAACATATTTTCGAACCTCGATTTCTCTGAACGCAGCTCGGTTGACAGTTGTTCAATTTTCGCCTTATCTTCGGCGGGCATCGCTTTCATTTTTGCCTAGTTTTATGAAAAAAAAGATCGAAAAACTGACCCAATCACAAAGCACAACGCAATGCATCATGGTATATGGCTAAGCTATACGTATGTAAGTAGATATTAAAATGGAAATACGTAGATCGATACGCACCGCGCCATCTTACAACTGTCTCAATTTCATTAAGGTGTTGGCAGGTTTAATTTAAGAGGGCACCCTCCCCCCACCAATACAGTCTGCCATAACGGGAAATTTTTTATCAAAGAAAAAGGACATGAAAATATTATTTAGTAATGATTAATATAAAGCATACTTACCCTGTCACTCATTTCCGCGAAACTCGTTCCAGTTTCTTCATCATCGCTATCATTTTCAGGTTCAGGTTCGGGTTCGGCTGCGAGTTCGAAACCGTCGACGGCGACAAGCGAAGGCGGACGAACTAAAAGTAACAGGAAACGTGTTGAAACGTGCTGCACACGCATTTCGGAGAATCTCTGCAAAGCTCTTCATTAATAGTGATGCAAAAATTCGTTAAACAAAATACCTGGTTCTTCCTCGACTGCCTTCACGGTAGCGGGTAAAGAAACAAAGTCGGATAATACTGAGGGTCCTTCGTATCGAGGCTTCGATTCCTGTGTGACCCAATCTACTGCATCTGGTCCCGTGTATCCCATAAATACCCAAGAGCCACCTGGTCCAGGATTTACATTACCAGTAGCACCGATACGACCAAGCGAATCCTTTGCTTCATTAACACTAACACCTGTAAATGAGCTTTGATCGTAAATCTGGATTTGACATTGATCTAATTTAATCCGGAGTTTATCTAAACTATGAATGTTTTATGCAGTGCGGTGTTTGAAACAGAGGTCATGGGTTCGAATCCCGTTGAGTCACCTGATTTTTTCAGGTTTATGAGACAATTGCTTAAAAATTGTCCAATAAAGTGCGAAGATCATATCTTCATCTAATTTATCTAAACTCTTGCATTCATATAATTGTTATTTAGTATAGACGTGTGCTCTCTTCTAGCTAACAATAGGGAGTTTTAGCAGAGCCTACGAGTACGACTACGAGTACGATTTACGTCATTTTGGCGCGAAAACATTGTTGCGACAACAAAAACACGTAGCCGTCATCAATCTGAGTACGATGTTTTGTAAAAAATTCGTAATCGCGACTACGATGTCTTTTTAAGCAAAGAAAGTAGGTATATGTCTTCATTCTGTAAGAAATTAGTTTACAGTACTATTTTCGAGCATCCAGGCTTTAATTTAGAACCCTTTTTGAGCGCAGATGTTCATTAAAAAGGAAAATATGACCTGCAAAACTTTCATGTATTTCGTACGCAAAGTGAAAGGTAAACAAACAATAAAATAGTACAAATATATCGTACATAAAACTTAAAATAGTGAAGATTTTTCAGTCTAAAGAGTCCTATATTCTTGTAAAACCAGTATTATCGATTCTTTGATATCATTATTGAAAAATAGAGCCGTAGCTGCTTCGCAAACGTCGGTGTTTTACACAATAAAAAGGCTCGTTCTATTGTTTACAACTAAAGCAAAATTTTGACCAAGCGACAACGACAACAAACTTCCTCGTGCCATTCTCTTACACGGTCAAATTTCGTACTCGTAGTCGTAGTCGTACTCCAGTGAACTCGACATTTGAATAACTGAACCGAAGCCATTGAGCTAGTTGTCATTCGTCAACGTCAGCTCTATCTCGTTTCATTTTAATTTTTAAACCTAATGGTAAGTTCGGATCTTGATCAGAGCGTAAAAATAACGATGTTGAAAAGTTCACAAAGTGAATCAAAGGGATAAATCAAGCAAGAACTTAGTCGATCTGCTCTAACGCTTTTCCTTTAAAACATCAAAGTCTTGATATTCACATTGATATCGAGATGAAAATTTAGTATTTCAAGTTTCAAGCATATCAAAATCGATGATACAATCGCTCGTAAAAGTAAAATGCGAGTTATAGACTCGATTTTTTTATGAAACTGGATATTCAATTTATTCGGAAAACAGATCTTTCCATTTAAATGACAGACAAAATGTCTTTTTGTTTTCCGTTTGAAAGTAAAACATTTATGCTTGAATATTTTCGTCATATCTATTGATTGTCTTTTGCAAACAGTGTAATTTTCAGTTGGCTTTTCTCGTTACAAGTTGTAAGTTAAAGAACACTGTAGTAAAGTTTCAGCTGTAAAAATAACCTTTGCGAAACCTCGTGTGTTGTTTGTCTTGTTTATATGTTTATGCTTTTGCAAGTATTCAAAAAATGTTTGGCACTCAATGAAACTGACGTACAAAACTGAATATTCGACTTTAAGGACTGAACTGACGTACAAACCAGACTAGACTTTGCTTCAATTTTATATCTAAAATGTATTGTGGTCATTCGATATATATTGGAGTCGTAGTCGTACTTTGCTAAAACTCCCATTATTCTTCACAACGACCGTATAAGGAAAACAACAGTAGAGTCTCTAAAGTCGCCCCAACGCACGAGTTATTTTCGATATCGGTTAACTCAAAAGGTCAAATCTTAAACCACGTTGTAAAACGATATTTTCAATGAGTTTAAAGGAATGGAAGGTTGAGGTAGTTGATACAAACGCGTATGAACCCTTTTATTTGAATAAAAACGTAAATGCTGCAAAGCTCTTAAAAGTTCTTATACTTTCGTGAAGGCGGTCGTACTTTCGCGTTTCTTTAGTTTAAATGTTAAAAAAGACGGCTGCTTTCAAGTGGGCTGCAGTTACTTTCCTCTACGATAATACTGCATACCTTTAGTATCTTGTGTAGCAATGAGTACAATCCTTTCGTTCGGTAAACCATCGAGAAAACGTTGCATTTCAACACCTTCGTTCTTTGATGCATCACCGGTATCAAAACATTTCGATGTGACAAAGTTTCCACTGTCGTCGAGGACGACAACGTTATGACCTCGGTGTTTCATGCTTCTTTCTACACCGTTTACTTTTATGCTACAGTAGCCTAACTTGTTAGGGTCGTCGGAGCCTTCGCCACGAAGAACTATCTTGATTTTCCTGTAATTTTATGATTATACCCAAGCTTAATGCTGGAAATAAACAATTCTAAAAGAACTGTTTTTAAACCGTTTTGGGTTAGTGTTCCAGTTTCAAACAGTTCTTTTAAGAACTATTATGTTATTATTTTGACCATTCGCCGTGGTATTTTCTCTTTTTAAAACAATTTCTAAATTTGACAAAATCTTTTTGCTGGTATAGAATAAATTCAATCTTAATGTAAAGGAATTTCGATTAACTTTGGACAAAACCAACTTCAATAGATATTTTAGACCATTGACTACACACATACAGGGCAGCAATGTTTAAAATTTGTTACCCTGTTCATGAGCCGGTGTGAACATGAGATTCGACACCAACGTTGGTCCTTGCCCTGCAGGACGACTCTTCTCGTGTATCCATGGTTTCTGCTCAGGTCCCGTGTATCCAGCAAACGCCCAAGATGATCGGTAACCGGAATCAAATGGCCCTTGAGCTCCAAGTCTTCCAAGGGCGGGAGCAGCGTACTCGACCCCAGGACCTACACGGTTAACGACATTACAACAACAATAATAATAAAAGAGGCTGAAGTTGATAAAACGCACCAGTAGTTTCCTGGGTAGCAACCAATACAATATGGTCTTCGGGCAATTCATCCAAAATTTTCCCATGGCAACGCCACCCTCTGGCGCTGTTGTGTCGAAATTTTCCGACGCCACAAATTCTCCTGCGGGATCCAACACGACCACGTTATGTCCAACTCGCTTGTGACAATACTCTACTCCGTTCACCTTGATAGATGCCACACCCATACCACCAACGTCATCGCCACCAGATGCCCGGATGTCGTAATGAACTTTACCTTGGTAAAAAATAAAAGTTATAAAACAGTCAAACCTTAATGCGAATTATTACACACAAACACAAAAGTCAGAAATCTATTCCTTTAAATTGTAACATTCTCGATGAAATTGAAAGAGGGTTATCTCATCTCGTTATATTTAGTTACAGTTTTCCGAATATGTTTTATTACATATACTTCATGAAATTGTCGTAACTTTTAGTTGCAACTATTATACGTAATATGTTTGGGTATATGTGCGTGTTTATGTGCGAGTAGATAACGATATTAATGTGTATTGTGTATTTTTAATGACCATATAATGCAGGACTTCAATGAAAAACACACAAGTGATGTGAGGATCTTGAATATACAAACAAATACAATTCGATCAATCATGAAAATACAATAATTGTGTCTTTTCAAGGACAGCAGTAAGAGAATACAGAGAACGACACCAGAATTGAAGGGCTTAACACAGATGAACGTAAAAAACGTCACGAGATTAAAGTGAAGGGCGAAAGAGGAGTTTAAAAAATCTTGTTTCGGAAAATTATTTCAAATATGGTCATATGCTTGGACGAGTCTGAGATGAAGAAGACTTTGAAATAAAATACTGTTCAATAAAGACTCTGTCGTGGTGATAAATCTACAAAATGTTTCAAAATAGCAATGGCCATGGTATACGGGCCAAAACAACGCAAGACTTCTAGCAAAAGAACTGGTTTACAACCAAAACACCGACCCAATAAATCTAAAAAGAACTGTTTTAAAACACGGGATTCATTCCGACAGACTACTCAAACAGGTGTCAACGTCTGCAAAATGAAAACGTAAAATCAATCGATTGAATCGACGTTCATAATGGAATGAAAAAGTAAACGTTAGAACACCTAGCTTATTTTGGCCTTCCACCATGGCAATTGCTCACTTTAAAACAATTTTCAAAACACTGTTTCTACCTTAAACACTTTTACCTGCAGCTTGTATTTGTTCATAGGCGGCCTCTTCTTTAGCGACAGTCAATTCTTGTTGAACCTGGGCCGTGTAAATTGGATCGATATTCGTTTCCAACCCGTTAATGTAACGTTTCTACATCAAATTAGAACGTAAACCTTAGCAAGAGCCTAAAACCTTCGAGGAAACGATGCAAAAACATTCATACCGTTTTCACGTTAACTGCTTTTCTCACATCTCTTATTGCATCGTAAACCTATATAATAATCAAATTCTTACAGTCTTCATAATAATCCAATTCATGTTATAGCTACGGCGATAGAAAAATGAACAGTTTAACTTTAAGTGCGTGTGACATTTTAAATTATATTTTCATTGAATAGAACTTTTAAAATGACACTGCACTTTCTAGAGTTCATTCCTAAGATATCGAAGTTTTTTGAATAAGTCCGACTCATACAACTCGTGAAGTCATTCTGCATAATAAATCGACGCACACTTTCAGACATCCGCCAGTTTCCTTGCAAACTTTTGGTTGATACGATTGGGCAGTTTTCATGCGATCAATTCTTCACAACGAAGGAACTCCGCTCCACTGACGTAACAAATCAGCAAATATACCTCAAAATTTCAAATTTTCATGATGCAATGTGACGTCACAAATTTTGCAAAGCGTACATTAACGACACAAACTACAATATCTTGAGAACGAAGTGTCATACGAATAAACGGTTTTAGAAGAAACGCTATCTATTTGAACGTTATGTTCAATGAAAATATAATCTAAATAGCACAACTTTCGTGTCGTGTGCACTTTAAACGCCTTAAACATGTAGCAAGATGTAACAACATGAAGTTCGGTGAAAAATTTGGTGAACACTTCACCAGACCAGACATGATGTTTACTTACAAGTTGCGATGCCTGAACAACAGCTTCCCCGTCAATTTTCTCGCGAGGATTTCGGTTCAAAGTTTCCACAGTTGAATCGACGACGTCGGAAAATCTTGGAATAACTGTAGAAGTTATAAATGTAAGCAATAATTAGTTTTAAATTCTTTTTAATAGTTGCTACAGACCTTGTGGTCATTACAAAAAACAGACGATAGAGCGATTTAACAACTAACTTATCAACTGCACACTCGCAATCCAATTCATGATTTGGAATAAAAACGATTCCAACGGATATTATATAGTTGTACTGAAAGATGAAACTTTGCTATTTGAATGTATTCGTTCAACTCCAATTAGAAAAACAAACAGAAGTGTTAAGTTATGAACGCGCTTTGTTTTGTGCTAATTAGCGGAAATGCAACTTGTGCAGACAATTATCTGTTCATTTAGCCATTTGTAATCAAAGAGTCAAAAACTCGAACCTATCGATTTCATATCTCGCCAGAGCTACACATATCCCAGCAGAGCTACACATATCCCAGCAGAGCTACACATATCCCACCAGAGCTACACATATCCCACCAGAGCTACACATATCCCACCAGAGCTACACATATCCCACCAGAGCTACACATATCCCACCAGAGCTACACATATCCAACCAGAGCTACACATATCCAACCAGAGCTACACATATCCCACCAGAGCTACACATATCCCACCAGAGCTACACATATCCATTGAGTTCTATAATAACTGGAGCGGCTATCTCAAGCGCGGCCTTAGATATCTGATGACGCCAAAAAAATGGCGGATTTCGTCCGTTGCCGCTGAGATTTACCGAAATTGACCGCTTTTCCGAAAATTTCACAATTTCCCACTCCTCCTGAGGAAAGAGTGAAGAAAATGTATGTGTGTATTTGGGATTTGGCAAGCAATTTTTTGATGAAAATCACGATAAAAACCTACAATTCCTAACAGCGAGTCAACCTAGCTTTCCAGTTATCGGCTCCTACGAGGATGTATTTATAACTATCGACGAAAGAGCTATATGTCGGCTACACATCTATGAATGCAGATATGCGTCGTTTTCTTACCAGCGTCAAACTTGTTTGATCGATTAAACTCTTTAGTCTACACAAAAAAGTATATCATAGTTCATCTCCACAGTGGTTCACGAGAGAGAAGTTAGCTTATTTGTTATCATTGCTATTTTGCTTCTTTTCGTGGAAAGGCAATGGCTTTTTTCGCCACAATTGTAGGATTTTTACTTGTTTCTTTAAAAAAGTAAATATTAAATCTCTGGATATTTACGGATTTTCTGTAATTGAGTTTCATATTAAATTTCAAAAAGACTCAAGTCTGCATAGGTTTGGTAAATGAAAACAAACAATATTGTATAGAAATTACTTTAAGTAACCTTTTTGTGATGTTCTGAAGTGCAACTGCATCAAATACTTGTAAAGTTGTAGCACATTTTGATTTTGTTGTATTGATATATAAATTGGGCAAAATGCAAATAATCATCAAAACACTTATGCTTCCAATGGTATTTATAATTCATTTTTAGCTTTAATACTTCTACCCTTCTTTTTCACTTTGTTTTGTTTTTCCTATATTTTCAATATAAGTGCACAATTTGAATGATTAACACAGTTTTCACTTCAATAATAAATTTCATAAGCAGTTGGTAGTGCATTTTGTTCTCTGAGTATCCACATTTGGTGTTTTCTTCATACATGAATGATGAAATGCATATGGATATGTCATAACAAGGCAATAAAACCAAATGAATTAAATACCTATAGTGTACTTTTATGCTAGAAGCTTAAAAGCTTTCTAGAAATTATAAAGTTATTGGATTATATTACCTCTATATCATCAATCTCATGAAAAGAAATAAGAAGCAAAATATTTGTAGAAAAGCTTTGAAAAGTGAAAACATTTATTTAAAAAAGCAGCAATGATGCATATGATAAATCCCCATTCTGTACTCTAATAGGTAAATAAGCTCAAACTGTTTCTTAAAGAAATATAAGAAATATAAAAGAAATATACAGTACAGTAATTTTAAAGGTTTCATCACTGAATCTTTAATGCTTCAGTATAGTGCATTAGATATTAGTAACATTTAAACAACACTCAACTAAAATATTTTGATAAAGATATGACATGATTTAAACATTAAGTTATATAAAACCCAATGGCTTATTCAGTTTAATGCTTCACATCTGCATCAAGTCATCATCAATCTCAGTACAAATGTTTACATAGACACAAACTTTATGGCCTTTCCATTTTATATGTTGTGAATTGACATTTAATTAAGCATCAAAACACACACAACCTTCTTGCCATCTTTTCTTGGTTCATGAACTTTAACTTCAAAGCATTAGGCATCATTAGTGAATCCATTGTCTCCATCCATAGAATTTGACCATGATCAAATTAAATAACTCTGGATAAGGCAGACAATAAATCAATTATCTTTACAGCATTATCATTTTTAAGACTCTGCCTGGTCAATAACATCTTCCAGTCATCTTTACTCCTTGGTCTTCCCTGCATGTTGTCAGCAAATAGAACATAACAAGCTCTGCTCCAAATCATGGGTACTGTTGGGGCTGATCATTTCTTCTTGATACTTTTCACAGAGCAAAATGTGTGCAGGGTCTTTTTTACTTTAGGGAAACTATTTTGCAAATAGATAGGTAAATTTACGATTTCATGCATTAACAAATGACAGAAAAGTATGCAGAATTTTATAGACAAAAACAGGAAAACATCAGTATATTTGGCGTTCAAGTCAGTCTTAAAAAATACGATCTTTAATATGTATTTTATGGCTTTTCAAGTGCATGTATAATTGCTTTTCAATCGTTGACGGACTAACAAAACAAACAACTACCTCACCTGTGAGAAGCGATATGTACCTTTTTGTGGAAACTACGACATCCAACAATTGAACGATTGAAGTGTTGGCATTATAAAAGAAATGCCAAAAAAGAATCGTCACAGAATATGGAACTAACGATATCCATATTCTGTGATATCGTGTTTGTTTTTGAAAAATTCTTTATAATTTACTATAGACACCAGGGGGAGGTCGAGAATATTATTTTTCTGCAAAGCGATCATTTCAGCGGAAATACGTCCGTTGGCCGCCATTTTTTTGGCGACCTCGCCCCAGTAAAGTTAGCCGCTCCAGTTATTATAGAACTCAATGCACATATCCCACCAGAGTTACACATATCCCAGCAGAGCTACACATATCCAACCAGAGCTACATGCCAGTGACAGATTTTACCCAGCGTTAATCGAACATATGTGAAAGTTGGAAAACACTTACTGTCTTCCTCGAGTGATTTCACAGTCTTCTGTACATTTTCAGTATAAGGTCATTGCTCGAAATTTTCCATTTCAGCCAATACCACTGCAGCAACGCGCTCCGTGCATCCACGAATGAGACCAGCAGTCCCATCCAGCGTCTCCACATCTCTCTCCTTTGTCGCCTTGATACAGGATTCAACGTCCTCTCCAATATGATTTTCTATCAAAAACAATTAAATACTTATACAGCAACTGTAAACAGCACATTAGTAGGAAAGGAATGTTGTGGTAAAGTTTGAAGCAAAACACACGCTTGGAAACTGGCTAATACTGTTGTACATTTTGTGTCTAGGTAATCTTTCTTACTACGTTGAACTCATTAGGATCGACGACAGTCACTAGACTTAATTGAGCAAAATGACACACAGCACAAAACATAACACAACAAACACAAACATGCACTAAGAATACACCATGATAAATCATTAGTATATTAAGCAGGTGAGGTGATCAATGTGTTCATACCTGAAACAGTTAGAAATTCGTCAATCTCCGTGATCTCATCCACAGCTTCAACCAGAAGATGAACTTGACTTTCCCAAGTCGCTTTGAATGTGTCGATATTGGCACGTGCCGTACGACTACGTGGGCGGGCTGCCAACGTGCGGGCTGCATTTATCACCTAAAAGTGAGGACTTTACTCGCAAAAGCTAGGCAAAAAAAAAGCGGTGTGCGAGCATAAGAAGACTGGGGCTGAATAATACAATGTGTCGCAATACATTTGAATGCAAACTTTTTTCATAAGACCTACACAGACACAACAACAAATATATAGTTGTTTTACCAACCTGTGGACATAAATTGTGAATTTTCTTGGTGATCACTCGAACAAGTTTAACTCCCTCAGCATTATTAGACACAGAGCAAGCAAGATTGGCGACCTCAAGTGACACAATAAAATGGCATTTTTTTACATTTACGTTAACCTGTTGCAATTTTGAAAATATGTTAGTCAATGCAGGTACACATAAGTACACAGAGCAAGCGAGATTGGGTATATGTGCGCGTTTTATCTCCCCTCTCCCTCCAGGTTTGTTTATGCTGGGTGTTTTTTCCCGGAGTGCTCCAATAGTTTCTTCCTTTATCTTGCACTCGTACTTATAAGGCCACGTACCAACTGGTGGTGAGTATACATTTCGCAAGGTGGATAGACTATCTTACTTTTCGTTACGACTAAACGGTTGAAATAACATATACTGTATGCTACAACTCTTTACCTCTTCCAGTTTCGCAGCTCCTTCGCTGAACACAATGGCGCATTCCTCGACCCCACGTTGATTACCATCTTTGGCAGCGTCAACAAGCAACATCAGCGGTACAAGAGTGTCGAGAAAGGTATCCGAGATATGATCAGCCACGGCAACACGCATCTAAAACATAAATTTCTGACAATAAGAAAGCCATGTATGTCTGTTGAGTGTTGACGCATGATGTTTACGGCCGTAGTCAACACACTTTACACAAGTTTTACACGTTTTACAGATTGGAGAATAAAGATACAAACTTGACGTCGTAGATCTTGAGTTTTGTCGGCCATGCTATCAATGGACTCATTAAGTTCATCGTTCGGTGTCGGTGTCTGTTTTGTCTCGGCCTGCGCAAAAGAAAACAAACCAAATAAAGGCAAGACGAGACCATCAATTTCATTTCCAGCAACGTAAACGGCATGACTTTAGCCTTACATAATGTATGTATATAGAAACAAGTTCTTGTAGGGCCGTGTGAACTTTGACGCATTCTTCGAGTAACCTTTCCTTCGTTGTTGGACGTGTTGTTGGTAAGTCGGATAATCTTCGCGCTCCGGATAAAATCCTTTCAGTTTGTTCTTCAATTCTCAATTGAGTTCGTCTTTCGAGAAAGGCGGCCGGGTCCATGACAAGACTCGCCTGGGAAATGAAGTAAGTCAATTAGGGAAATGGTGGTTTTCACTGTAACTATTTGACTTGTGATGATGCTTAAAGTGAATGGTTTGAACCCGGGAGTATCGCTCCATGTATTGAAGGGGCAACTACCATGATCTATCTCACCTCTCTGTGGATACTGGTGGATTGAAGGCGCAACTACCATGATCTATCTCACCTCTCTGTGGATACTGGTGGATTGAAGGCAACTACCATGATCTATCTCACCTCTCTGTGGATACTGGTGTATTGAAGGCAACTACCATGATCTATCTCACCTCTCTGTGGATACTGGTGTATTGAAGGCAACTACCATGATCTATCTCACCTCTGTGGATACTGGTGTATTGAAGGCAACTACCATGATCTATCTCACCTCTCTGTGGATACTGGTGTATTGAAGGCAACTACCATGATCTATCTCACCTCTCTGTGGATACTGGTGTATTGAAGGCAACTACCATGATCTATCTCACCTCTGTGGATACTGGTGTATTGAAGGCAACTACCATGATCTATCTCACCTCACTGTGGATACTGGTGTATTGAAGGCAATTACCATGATCTATCTCACCTCTCTGTGGATACTGGTGTATTGAAGGCAACTACCATGATCTATCTCACCTCTGTGGATACTGGTGTATTGAAGGCAACTACCATGATCTATCTCACCTCACTGTGGATACTGGATTGAAGGCAATTACCATGATCTATCTCACCTCTGTGGATACTGGTGGATTGAAGGCAACTACCATGATCTATCTCACCTCTCTGTGGATACTGGATTGAACACCATGATCTATCTCACCCTCTGTGGATACTGGTGGATTGAAGGCAACTACCATGATCTATCTCACCTCTCTGTGGATACTGGTGTATTGAAGGCAACTACCATGATCTATCTCCCTCTGTGGATACTGGTGTATTGAAGGCAACTACCATGATCTATCTCACCTCTGTGGATACTGGTGTATTGAAGGCAACTACCATGATCTATCTCACCTCTCTGTGGATACTGGTGTATTGAAGGCAACTACCATGATCTATCTCACCTCTCTGTGGATACTGGTGTATTGAAGGCAACTACCATGATCTATCTCACCTCTCTGTGGATACTGGTGTATTGAAGGCAACTACCATGATCTCACCTCTTACTGTCAAACTTCTGTCCAGGTATAATGACATCATCAGCATATTTATCCTCATCGTCATCGTCATCGTCACTTAATTTCTCCTATGGACATAAAATGTTATGCACGTAAGTGACAACTGAAACGTCATGATACTGGGTGAAACGGGGAGAATTCAAAATTCAAGAACGCACTTTTTCCTCAACTTTCTTTCCGTCCATTAAATCTTGATGCAGTTTATCCGACTTCAGCTGTTGTTTCGCCTACAAAGAAATATCAGTAAGCTTCGCTTTAGAAAACTTATAGATAAAGATGAGGTCCATACATAAGCGCACGGGAGCTATCATTTCTGGAGAGGGGAGTAAGAAATTTTCCCCAATTCACAAAGAGGTCCCGCCGTAATTTCGCCCGTTAAAAATTTGCCCAACTTTCCAACTGCCCCTGTCCCGTACGCCTATGGGTGCATAAAGTACTCGTATCAATGATAAATATAGATCAATCGGAGAGTAGAATATTTAGATGAATGAAAAAGAGAACTTTACTCCGTGATGAGTACTCGCAGTGCTACTGGCCAAGAGGTTCATTAAGTAAGAATGCGATGATAAGAACAATTTGAAGTTCGGTTTCTTTGTTCACAAAAACTTTCGCTTACCATTTCCATTTTTTGATATTCTTCTAGCACCCTTTGGTGTTCTTCAGGATCATATCCAACCCATCTTAAAGTAACGAACACCATGCAAAAATCAATGGCGAAGTACTCGCTGTGTACATAACTACAGCGACGTATCACTGAACAATCCCACTTGTGTAAACCATGTATACCTGTCTCTTTTGCCATCGTAGTCAAAGCTATGTTGTTCAGGGACATATTCGTCGGGTTTTATATCTTCACCGGTGAATTTAGCACCTACACGTCTAGGACGCTACCAAGTTAAGTGAAATAAATACTACAGATTGTAAAATAAGCAACGCGATTTATGAATGCCATATTTTCATACTTTAAAGATCATTTTATTAAATTACAACATGCAGGGTGCAATCACAAGAGTCGTTTAAATGTTTCTTGTTGTGCGTAGATTACCGTGAAGCATTGACTTTAAGCCCTCTGAATATAACAACACGCCCATTGTATTAGCCCATCATATATCGCTCACGAAAGTAACACGTGCAGGTCTTACAGTCGAGAGTCTACGGTAATCCTTTAATCTTGCAAGTGATTGATTTAAAGTGATAACCGGATCCGGATTTAGGCTCTACTATCCTCGATGTTCAGCTAGGCAAAAATTCCCATTAAAAAAGACCGACGCCACTAATCAATCTCATCAGACAACAAGAGTTAAAACAGATTTCAAATACATAATTATCATGAAAGAAACCTCTAGACAGTCTTTTTTCTTGTGAGTAATCGCACCACAGTTTTCACAGGCTCCCTTTCGAAATTTTATCGCTGCAGTCTAAAGATTTAGACAGGTTACATTACATAATTTTCAAAACGATGAAAATTCACCAACGTGTAACTCGCTACCTCTTTCAAGCCACGTTTATACGATGCATCAATTTTCGCAAACTGTTTTTGCCTTTCTTCCTGTGGCCTTTGATGCTTGAGAGTTGGTCTAAATATTGAGAAAAATCATTTAAGGTCTGCATTTGTACTTTTACACAGGACATGGTTTGAGTTAAAACAATCTTACAACTTTTCATTGTAGAATAATATTCATTGCAATGTTATGTGGTGTTCATTGTTAAAGACAAGGATGAATCTACAATGATTTTGTGAATGGAATGGTGGTGCTCAAGCTTGGATTGCATTTCCATGGTTACTTGTCAATGTAGCATATCCGACTCTTTTTTGTGAAACAACTGTTGGGAGTTCAATTCTAGTAAAGGCTTATTTTTGGTTAGTACTGTGCACTTGGAGCAGTTTTGATATATTTTTCAAAGGGAGTCAAAATTTATGTCAAAACAAAAGCTCTGGCAGTGAGATTTTTGTAAATGAGTAAAAACATTAATGTTTGAAGTCAAAAATCAGATAGAGTCGAAATATAGTATTTAATTTATGTATAACGAAAGATAACATGACATCTTTCGTTATACATAAATTAAAATACTATATTTCGACTGTATCTGACACTATGACAACTCTCAGAGCAGTATTTTGCTCTCACACTATGACAACTGCATAATGTGAGAGCAAAATATTTTATGACAAAGTGATTCAGAGACAAGGTGCTGTTTTTCATGAAAGTAAAACTATTTTGTAAAAACCTTTTCTTCATTCATAGCAAGATTTTCCAGTGTGGTGGGTAGTTACAGTATTTGAAAGACCGTGAAAATTAACACTAAGTTTTTTTGGCCAAAGCTGAAGTTTTTTATCCCGACCAGATCCAGAACCTGAGGTGAAGGTGAAAACCCTCGAAAACTACTCTTTGCATTAGCAAGTTGCTTTGAAAGTTCAAGATGTTGATGTTGAACTTTGGAAATTGATTGCTTTACACTAAAGTCAACAATTTTTGTTCTGCATATACTATTTGTATTTCAGTAAACAAACAAGTTGAATATATGATTTTGCATCAAATTTAAAAATCCAAGCCAGCAACCTCAGCAACAAACTATATGAAACAACACAATATAAACTATTTAACATACCCAGATGCTCCATAGTACCAAGGCATCCGAAATATATTGAGGAATATGAGGGTTGATGTCTCTAGATAAAGCAAAATATTGAATGTATCAGATATTATGAAAATATTTACACAATTCATAAATAAAGTACTTTAAGCACTACTTTACAAGATCTTCAGTGGTTTAAAAAACCAAGTAATTTTAATTATCGCATAACAAGACAACACTTGGACATAGGATTTTATAAAGTGAATGGTTCAGACACACATGACATGTTTTCTCTCACAATATGTGTTATATTTATTCCACATACAATCTAGAATTATTATATAAACTTTAAAATTTAAACAATAAACAAACTAGTATATTTTAAATTTATTTATATATAACGTGAATCATTTCTAAGTAATATATTTTTAATTTGAAATGCTTCGTAAAATTCATAAATAATGAGATATAAATTAGTTGAACTTGAAATCGAATGTTTGAAGTAGAAGGAAACTGTTAAGTATTCGCAATCACAAAATTACGAACATAAAAGGCGCAAGATGGTTAGCCTTTTGACAAGTAAAAGAAAGTTTAGACGGTACACATACTTTCCTGTTTCATCCTGCAAAGCTGGTGCAGTTCCTGCCTTTCTAGCTTCTTCTAATTCTTTTTCTTTCTTCCAATCTGTTCTTGTCATTTTTTGCTGAGAACTTGCCGCACTTGCAGCTAAATCGAGAGATCGGAGCACAGACGCCATATTGAAATTTGGCACGTGAAACGTGAACTGAAAGATAAATACACCATCGTTGCGCGCGCGAATTGTTTTATCGTCTTGCCGCGAAATACGATTTTACCCACTTTAACTTTTTTGTAAAAAAACATCATCGTATGCGCATAAAATAAATAAATTCTTTCCACTTTCTTGTGTTAATGTATTTGTATTTGAGACAGTGCATGGGATAAAGTGTTAATAAATTTAAATACTTACACGGACACTTACCAGACAGAATACGGATAAACGACATCGTTTGGTTTTGGAAAAGAAAATATATTTAGGCAAGTGTTTTGCCGTGTTTTAGAAATAATGACGTAATATACTGAACCCACGCATCAAATTTCAATATGGCGTCTGTGCTCCGATCTCTTGATTTAGCTGCAAGTCATCACATAAAAATTCTTGATTTGCAAAGAAAAAGATTGGACTCGCTGAAATCTTGCAAACAAGCCGATTAAACGACTATACTAATAACCTATGGTAAGATATTGAAAGACGTGCATTTGCGATTCGTCTAACTGGCAAATGCTGTAAAGTTTTCAATGATGCATGATTCATGGCTTAGTTTTTCAAATAATAAAGACAATATATATTTATTAAATATCATGCTCTTATTAAAACCCGCAGGCAAGCTTTTAAATGTAACAACAAATAAATTTCTGTCAATTACATTTTCAGTTAACTGTCGACAAGCATGTCAGTGTTGTATCCATTGAACTAAAATAGATGGAAGTCTACACGTCTGTCGATATTTTGATGCCAGAGATCCCACTCTTTCCACACAATATAAACGCACGGCCGATAGAAGCGAAGGAAAAGATAACTTGTATGATTTACAAATCTCTGAAAACAAAACAAAAGCCCTTTTTTATTTGGTAAACAAAACTTTTCAAATGAAATTTAACATTAAGCATACACAACTTTTCGGCAATTAAAGTTTTGTAAAGAAAGCCCTAGCTTTTATCTATTACAGGCAGCCTTCCTTCTATGATAGTTCAGTGGTATGAATGTTTTATGCAGTGCGGTGTTTGAAATTAAATGGAGATATAATCTTCGCACTTTGCTGGACAATTTAAGCAATCGTCTCAGGACCTGAAAAAATCAAATCTGGCGACCCACGAAAAAAGTGATATTCATCGCTCTTTTGTATCTAGAAGTTCTTTTTCACGGCCGTTGACAACTTGCTTTCCATCAACCAGTTCAACATCAAAACGTGCCATACAGGAGTCCGAGATTATGATCGCTGTTCAGACAGCTTGCCATGGATCCATCCGGACAGTAGATCATTTTGGTGAGATATTGGCAAAATATGGCAAAAAAAGTGATTTGGAACATATTAGATTGCACCGCACCAAATGCACGAAGATCATCACCGAAGTCGTAGGTCCAGCTTTAAAGGAAGATCTCAAAAAAGATGTTGAAGGAAAGCATTTTTCTTTAATTGTGGACGAAACGACGGATATATCAGTCGCTAAGGATCTGGCAATTATTATTCGTTACTTCAGTGAGAAACAGTGCAAAGTAACCGGACTGCTTACTTGAAATTGTTCCAATGTCTTCTGCAACTGGGGAGCTGATTTTTAATGCCATGAAGAAAACACTGGACTGGTACTGTTTAGATTTGAAGAATTGTATGGGATTTGGATGTGATGGTGCCAGTGTAATGGTTGGGCAGCATAACTCAGTGTGGTCCAGAATCAAAGAAATTAACCCAAGTTGTATACTTATGAAGTGCATTTGCCATTCGTTGGCCTTATGTGTTCAGCATGGTATCAACAAGCTGCCCAGTAATCTTTCATATCTTTTAGAGGAAATTCCTGCTTGGTTTTCGCTAAGCACAATTCGCCGTGATGAGTATAAAGCGTTGCACGATGAATTGAATGATAGCACAGGATTTATCGGTTTTTCAGGAACTACGATGCCATTTGTGAAGTTCTGTAGTACGCGTTGGCTTTCAAGAGGCAAAGTTATTTCAGCAATTTACAAGAATTGGGACGTTCTGCAAAAATATTATGAAAACATCACCACTGAGAGTCAAAAGTTGACGCCATCCCAAAGGTACAAGGCAAGAGAGCTCCTCCGCATGGTACAAGATAATGTTAACCTCTTGTATCTTACATTTGCGCTTCCTGTGGTTACTGAGTTTGAACGAATAAATGCACTTTTCCAGTCGAGCAAGTCCAGTCCTGACAAAGTGTTGTGAGAGCTTGATCTTCACCATCGCACAATGAAATCAAGAGTGTATGATAACCGCGGTAATAAGAAAACTCTGCACCAAATTGATTTTGGAAGTAAATTTATGGCCGAGTTCAATGCTCTGCAAAAGAACGACAGCAACAACGAGAACACCCTGCTGGCTGTAAAACAACGCTGTCTCGAAATGCTGATGACTTGTATTTCTCAGGTAGAGGCACGTCTTCCTGATCAAAAAAATGTGTTTTCAGAGCTTGTTGCACTCACCCCAGATGAAGTTCTCAACCAAGTTCGACGAGTGGATTTTGGAAAGCTACCGTACCAGCACCTGATGGGAGAGGACAGTGACAAAATTGAAGAAGAATACCGGCAAATGATTCACATTAACTGGAAGGAAGAGCTTCCTGGGGGTATCATTCCAACTGATACCGAATCTTTTTGGTTTCAGGTCCGACAAATGCAAAGATCTGATCTTGAAGATGCAAAGTTTGCAACTTTAGCAAACTATGCACTGTCTTGTTTGTCAGTGCCAATTAGTAATGCTAACGTTGAGCTTTTATTTAGTACTGTGACATTTATTAAGAATAAGCTTCGCAACCGAATGTCTTTTAAGACGCTGGATGCGTTGACACGAATCCGAACAACTCTCTATTTCCAGTCAAAATGTTGCAAAGATTTCACAGTGACAGAAAGAATATTTCAGCTGTTCACAACGGAAAACATGTACCAGCTTGATGAAGAACGGAACCAAAACACAAACCGGGAGAGCAAAGAAGAGCAGGAGGTTGACTGTGAACTGTTACCGTTGTTTGGTGATGTATGAATTTTATAACTTTTCAACATTCCAAGATTTGCAAGTCATTATCAACAAAAATGTAAACTGACTTATTAGACAAAAATATTTTTTAATCTTTTTTGTTATATCTTTTTAATGATATACATACTTTCATCTTTTATGTTTTTGTTTAACTGTTTGGAACGGTTGTTGAAATATAGGCTGAACTGACTTAATAGTCACTTTACAAAGTCATTGTTTTCAATATGCATTGTACATACTTTCCAAGGTTTCGTCATGAAATACAACACAGTACTCAAGCGCGCATATGTTTCGAAATGGTTTCGGTATATTTAAAAACTTAACATATATAGTTCAGTGGCAATGAGCAATTTGGCCTTTTATAACCCAGTTTGGCCGATTTTGGCGATCAGTTTGGCCGATTACGTCAAATACGACCTGGCAACGCTGGTCACACGAGTCGTTCGTCTTGTGTCAGTCTTGTGTGGAGTTAAATTTGTGCCGCAGCCTGCAGTGAGCAATATTTATAATTCATTATGTTATCATCTACGTAAACGTTAAAGGTTGAAAATCTTTTTCTGGCGATTTATGATCATGATATCAAGAGTTATTCCTTCCATCTAATGAAACGGTAAGATAAAGATTTTTTATCCTTACAGGCGACTCGAATTAATTTATATCTGTTGATTTGCAACTGAAACAACATACTAAAGTCAATATTTTATATGTGTTCTTCATCTTTTGTAACATATCAATGATTATAGACAATGTGTGGTAGCTAAATATAATATTATTATAAGATTTATCTATTTACTTGGATTTATTATCCTTAGATGACGACTCGAATCAAATTTAATTTACGCATCCTAACAAAGACAATTTTTCATCTGAAATTTACTAAGAACATTGACCATTGTTGGTATGACTCGACCCTATAACTAGTTTGAAAATTGCTTTATTATTCGTGATAAGCATTTAAACATAGTTATTGTACAACCATAAAATACAACAAACATAAACAAGATATTCAAGTTAGATTTCAAACATTGTATAAGGAAATGAATATAAGTGAAGCAGAACATTAAATCACTGTGTTTAAAGAGATTTGTTCTTCTTCGAAAGTTGTTTTTGTCATCGTTTGACCTTATAATTATCGTTATCAAGAATTTTACATCACTTAGTTACGTACATCAACATATTTTGAACTTTTGATATGATAAAACTTGTTTGTTGATATGTGTTGATTTGCTACTGAAATAACAAACTAATATCAATATTTTATATGTGTTCTTCATCTTTTATAACTAATCAATGATTGTGGACAATGTGTGGTTGCTAAATATATATTAGTTACAAGATTTATATATTTAATTGAATTCATTCATGTACAGGAAGATCAATAATTGTTGGGTGGGGGCTCATATTAATTTATGTATATGATATGTTTTTATTCTTCATTTGCTAGCTATTTCATGTAGTTTGCCTATTTTTTTTAGAATATTAATCTAACTAATGAAAAATGGTTTTGGTCATAGGCGTGCAGATTCTTACATCTTTTACACAATTTTGGGTTAACTGTCATAAAAATTATGTCCACCAATTTTTCATTGGTTTCCTTATTACAATGTTTTGTTGACCATTTTTATTGCTTTCATCACTTTTGTTGACTTCTTGACACACTCCCTTTTTTAACAAGAAAAACTGTGGCAGGACTGTAGGATGATTGTTAATTTGGAGATCATATTATGTATGCATAATCTAGGCTACATGTGTTAAGTTCCTTTGAAAACCATTGTTGTCTAGAGATCATTACATCCAAATGTTTATGTCACCCCAACCACAGTATAGAGAATATACAGTAGGACCACTTTCTGTGCAACTTACTGCTGTATATATAATTATATTACTGAGTGTAGTTTCCACCTCAGTGCACCTATTGGTCAAAAAATTGTAGTGTCTGACTGCCACTATGGTAATCACTTGTGGAATAAGATATGCATGGCACAAAGATATTCAATGCAATCTACTGTATGTTCTCTATAAAATTGTACTATATGTTCCTATAACTGTGCCCCAATTACATTATGTCTTCCTAAGGTCTTAAGTCGTGAATGAAGTATTAGTTCAAATAAATTACACCTGCTCATTTTTTTATCATAATACCTTCTAAACAATGATAATGGTTATGAATTTTTAAAGAATGAAATTTTCAGTGGTGTAGCCAGACTGATAAAATGTTTAGTCCTTTAATGTACGTTTTTATATTCTTTTACTGTGAAAATAATAGACATTTTAACTTGTGAGTCTTAAAGTGTCCCTTCCACCAAAAAAATTTTATTAGCATATCAAATCTGTCGATGAGTTTAAGCCTCGTTAAGGAAAAAAATTTTGAATTTGGTCAAATCGTTTGATTTTTGTAAAAGCGTTAAATTCACTAAAATCGTATATTCTTGTGAACCATGTCCGTGATAATGAGGAGTCTGAAACTAGCTAATTTTCTGACGTCATCCAAGGTACTCGTGTTACACGAGTCGTGTATTCAATTGCTATCAAGTCTATGCTTGCTGAGGCACAACTTAAGTCTATAAGCGCCTAAAAGCATTGCCTTTGCACTAGTAAAAGCAGAAAAAAGGTAAATGGTTGCGTTGCAGCCAATTGTACGAATGAGTCAAGACTTTGAGCCTTCCAGTGCTTCAACACTTTGTTCGGTTCGATTAAAACCAAAGGATTTGGGCGTCAGTTTAGTAGCTTGCTGAATCAAAAGAACGCTAATTTTCTTGGGACTAAAAACGATGAGATTAGAGTTTGTGTCTTTCCGACAATCCATGCTTTAAAGTCAAAATCCGAATCTTTATCGCTCAAGTTTTATTGCTTTCCAAGTTTTCTGTCACGTATCCCGGAATAAAGTTTTTGTCAGAATTATCTGACTGAACACTGAATTCTGATTTTGATTCATCGCTTTCTTCGCAAGACATAATTTTCTTAAATATTATAATTAAACAACGTAAAAGCTCGTATATGAGTCAAGCCTTTGCTCTCGTATGAGTCTTAACACTATGCCTTATAATGATAAAAGGCCCGAGGGCAAGCGAAGACGAAATATCTGGGTTTTAAAGCAAAGCGCGTATTTAAGCCTTCCAATGCTTCAACACTTTGTTCGGCTCGTTTAAAACCAGAAGATTTGGAGCGTCAGTTTAGCAGTTTGCCGAATCAAAAGAAAGCCAATTTTCCAGGGCTTAAAAAAGATGAGATTAGAATTTGTGTCTTTCCGACCATCCAAGCTTTGGAGTCAAAATTCGAATCATTATCGCTCAAGATTCATCGATTTCTTCGCAAGACATTATTTTCTCGAATATTATAATTAAACATCGTGAAAGAACGTATATGTTTAATATAAGCTAAATATGCCCGAATGCTGACTATATTGGATGACGTAAAAATACCTTCTAGTGCCAGTTTCTTTTGTATTATAGAAAACGACGGCGTTAGGCCAAAAATGCACAACTTCAAGATGCCATAAAAGTTTGTTGATTTGACCAAATTTCTGAATTTTTTTCTCAGAAAGGCTTAAAATCATAGACAGATTTCATATTGCTAAATAAATTTTTGGTGGCAATACTGAAAAAGTGTCTAAGTGAGACAGTGTCTGTCTGTCTGTCGTGATATCTTTGGCTGTTTTTTCTTCGTTCATAGTCGCAAATGCGAACGATAACGAATAGTATTGTTTTGTCTAGTATAGTCAATGCTTGGAACTTGATAGTTACACTCCCAAAAATGACAAAGAATTTAAATATATTATGTCCCTATGGAAAAGAACTACATCAGCAATGATATATGTACCATGTGCAATGCCTCCACATTTTAACAATAAATATAAAAATTGAAATTGGAACAGAAGCATCGGCAACATAATCCTATCAATAAGCAAATATTCGTACAACTCAACTAACCAATTTGATTTATCTTTTCACCGCACCATTTTAAGAGAAATAAGATATAATATTCATTTAAAAAAAATCGTTTTAATTCAAAATGGCGAAGAACTTATCGTTCTATCATTGAAATTATGAGATTTATAAGGACATGGCAATCATATTGTTTTTTGCAAGCTTCATTTGCACGATATTAGCACGTGAACACCAGCACACATAACATGCACTGAGCGTAGAAGAGCAATAAAAAGGAAAGATAATGATAATTACTGGGCCTTTTTATTAAACATTGAGCACAGAGAACGTTTTGTTCCAAAGAGAAGTGCCAAAGGAAGGAATGATTTCATTTTAAGGCATTTTGCCATGAAAACATTTTTTGCTATTTTTCATGTGTTATTACTACGGAATGACCTTGGGATTTGACTTTGGGAATGGCCTTTGGACTTCACTTAATTCAATGAAAAATACAACACTAAGCAGTTGGACTACTGACTACTGCTTGTTCCATGTACTATAACTCTGGTCAAGGCTACCCACATGTACACACTCGTACCTATTTTTTACGTACCTTTCACATCTGGGGACGGTTGCACGAAGCCTGTATAGCATTGTTTGTTGGATAGTAAAATTTTCAAACTTGTAGAAAAAGGTGTTTATATTTACCTTAGGGGAAAGAAATTTTGTGATCTTTGAAGCAATATTTGATTTCAATGATTGCTCAGTTCAATTCACATATTATTCCCTTTTAAGAGATTTTGTAAATATTCAAAACAATTTGCCATCTTATAGATAAAGCTATTCTGCCTTCATGTAACCGGCCCCAGGTTTTTTTTATAATCACAATGAATTTGTACCATGGAAGTCTTACCTACTTTTTTTCTGCAGGTGGCAACATGGGGTCAGTCTTAAGCAGAAACAAGAAAACTAATGGTTTTAAGTTGATGAGATTAATCGTTGATGTTGGTGGAGAAGCTTTGAGAATAACATTGACGAAGCAACTGTCAGGTACTGATTTATTTAATGTTTTAAAGAATCCTAAAATTTATAATCAGCTTTTGATTCTAAAAAATAATCGCACTTTAAAGCAACATCAATGGGATCTACTGTATCCTCCTCCTCCAATATTACCAAATGAAAATAAGTTTGACATTACTTTACTTTGTATTCTCCTGCGTAATATTTGTGGCTTAAAACCACCTCGTGATCCAATATGGGAAAACATGCCTTATGTCACTGATTATTCAACTGAAGCAGATATTACCCGTATCAGGTTATTTCGTAATGGTCGTTTTGCTCACTTACCTAGCACTTCAGTAAGCTCTGATGAATTTGAAAATCATTGGCTGGAAGTAAAGGAACCATTAGTTCGTTTAGGAATAAGTCAGGAAGAAATAGATAGATTGAAAAATGAGTTGTTTGGTAATGAAGAATATAAAAGAATTTTGAGAGAATGGGATGGATTAAAGAGCGATTTAACTGATGTTAAAACTGATCAGAGAGGTATTAAGAGAACGTTGGAAGGTGTAGAGAAAGATTTACAACAGGTAAAAGGTAGTGTCACAGTAATTAAAGACGAAGTACATGAAATACGACATCACCCTCACTTAGGTCCAGAAGAAGATATTTTGACAAAAAACCTTGTTTGCTGTAACTTTGAAAGTGAAATTAGGCATCATTATGAAAAATATTTGCATGGAACACGGGAATGGGTTTTTGATGAGTTTTTAGCTTGGTTCGATGACGACAGTTCTCAAAATCGTGCATTTGTTATTTCTGCTGTCGCTGGAATGGGTAAGTCTGTAATTGCAGCTAGTTTATGTAAACGTTATCCACAATATTTGACTGCAGTTCATTTCTTTCAACACAACAACAGTCGTTACAATAAAGCCAATGTACTTATTCAATCTTTAGCGATGCAAGTTAGTCGTAAGTTTCCTGCTTACAAGGAACTTCTTGAAAAAAAAATTTCAGGTCAACTCTCTGAGCCTTTAAATAAAATGAATGTTGAAGGATTATTTTCCCTTCTTTTTACTGAGTTGTTTTATAATCTCTCACAAGTTCCCAAGCGAATGTTAGTTGTACTTGATGCTCTTGATGAATGTGGTTATTCAGAAAGAGATGACCTTGCTAATTTGCTTGCTAATCACTTACACAAACTTCCACTTTGTTTTCGATTTGTAATTACAACCCGACCTAACGAAGCTGCTTTGAATAAGTTCGAAAAATTAAATCCACTGTTCATTAATTGTAGCGATGATCGCAATTTAGAGGATATTAAATTTTTGATTGAAAAAAGAATTGGCTCTACCGACAGCCTTTCTAATTTTAAAGATATTTTGGCAGAAAAAGCTGACGGACTTATGTTGCTTGCATCACTTCTTAGCAGCGAAGTCAAAAATCAGGATTTGTTGAAAGGTTCCATACCAAAAGATCTCAATGAATATTACAAAATTTGCTTAACAAGATTAAGTAAGGAATTAGATATCAGTAACGAAAAGTTTCAGTCAATTTTAAATACTTTGGCTGTTGCTAAAGAACCTCTTCCTTGGGAAATGATCGATGACGTCCTTTGTTTGAATTCAAATTACATATCACTTCAGGTTAGAGAGATTATCTCTTGTCTGTTTGTTACCAATGAAGAAGGATGTGTTTCGTTTTTTCACAAATCTTTAAATGATTGGTTGTTGGATGATCGAAAACATATTTACTCAGTAAAAACCTCTTGTGGTCATCGACTTGTTTTAGAATTTTGTTTAAAATCTTTGGATAACCTCAAAGCTGAAGGTGTAAACTATGACATCATTAAACATGCTTCAGTGAGGTATTCAGTCAAGTATTGGTTGCTTCATTTACTTGATATTTCTGATAATGAATGTATCGTTGAAAATGTTGGTAAATATCTTGTTGACTTGGAAGTTTTAATTGCTTCTGTGTTGGTTGATTGTCGTCGGACTTTTGAAAATTTTGAATTATTCAACGCACATGGTGTGTACTTTCGTATTTCTGAGGACATTCGATTGTTATTTAATGAAGTTTATTCTGTAATGACGTACTCTATGTCTTTGACAATGAAGTAAATTTTTGCAATACGTTGCCAACGAAGTCAAAGATCTGTCGTCTCAAGCTACCACAATGCTTCAAACACTTTTCAAAGACTCACCATATCTAGAGTACAGAGACACGGGTTTTGTAAAGGCTCGATTATTACGTTTAAATGAATATTGGTTGAAGTCTGTTGATGTTTCACGAAATCATGATTACGTCGTCTGTGGTTATGAATTCGTCGTGCAACTTTTTTCATTGAGAACAAACAGATGTTTATGGATAAAAAATATTGCTGGTCAGTTTAAGCAATTTAAAGAGAGAGAATTTTGCGTTGTCTTTCATCCATTCAAAGATTTGATTTTTGCTTCCCAGCTTAATAAGATACTAGATATTAATGGTAAAATTTCCTCCAGTCCGTTCCATTGTGATGATTCTACTTCTAAGTTCTTTACCAACAAATGTTTTTCTAAGGATAAGTACACAATGGTCACTTGTTACAAAGATACTTTGACTGTATGGGACGTTGAGAAAGGTGAGAAGAAACGCAGTATTAGATGTAATAATGTGGTGACCTCACTGTGTTTTTCTAATTCTGGAAGATATTTGTGTGTTATTGAGAAAGAAAGAGGGGTTCAAATATTTGATGTAGCGAATAATTATGAAACATTCGTTTACGACGATCATTTACCGTCTGGTTTTTTAAGTGCGTTGTTCACTGTTGGTCTTCATTCTTGGTATTGTTGCCATTCTTTTTTTAGGAGTAAACATTTCATTGTAAATCCCACTGGTGAGACACTTTCTCACTTGAATCCTGATCTGCACTTTTTGAATCCTCTCGATCCTTTCGATGACAACAGATCTAGCTTTTCCTTTGATGGAGGAGATACGTATTACTTTATTTTGAATAACGACAATGTTCTTTTGTTTCTATACGGATATGACTATTATCTTTATTCAATACCGCGTGCATGTTTAATTAACAGTTACAGTTTTCTCAACGAGAAATTTTGCTCAAATGGAATATTTCTGTATCGGAGCAATGAAGAAAATTCAAGGATATGTCTATACAATCTCAACACATTTGACTTTGATGTCCAGGAATGTTTTTTTAATCACATGGTTGCTGTAGAAAATGGAGTTATTTTGCTTACGGCAAAAAATATTCCTGAGCTTTGGAATAATGATTTGACAAAACTTGTTTATAGTTTCGATGAACTAAAAGGTACAAACAAAATTTTGAGGTGAGTGATGTATCATTTGCTTGTCAAAAACTGATTCTTTTGTGTTTTCAATGTTGAAAACAAGCGAAAAGAAATATCAGTGAATTTTGAAAATTATCGAAATGTGCACGTATTTGCATGTAGCTCTAAGTATCACGTGTTTGCTAAAGTTGAATTTAAGGATCAGATAATTTACTGTGTGTGGCATGAAGACAAACTTGTTAATGGTTGGGATGACGTAATTAAGGAGAAAATCGCCAAAGACATTGGAAATAACTTCCGTGATATTACTCGCTGTATAACTTACGCTGCTTTTTCACCTTCAGCAGATAAATTATTAATAAGTTACATGCATGTATGTGAAAGTATTTGACGTTAAAACATAGAAATAATTTATAGTTATTATGAGGAATTTTTGGTCAAAGTCTTTCTTTGTTGAGGTATATAATTTAGTGATCACTTACATTTGATTGATTTGAAATATTTTAAGATTGTAAATTATTTCTCCCTTGTGAGTATATTTTCAAGGACTTTTTATTACTGTCGTAAACGCAAACTTGCTTTAATTTTTTCTTCCTTTAAGGTCCCTGTACAATGCTTAAAAATCATTTTGCCACGAGGATAAATTTGATCTTTGCTGATAAAATTTCTCACCATTTTGGATAATGACTATATTATCTTTAAGAAAATCTTGTTCAGCTTTTAAGCATGATCCCTATCATTGTTGACATTTCAATTAATATCTATTTGCGTATGATTTCATTAAACGACCTTTGTCTAATTTTGATTATTCTGTATAGAGACCGCAGTGTACGATAATGTCAACATTTAGAGACATATATAAAAGCTGAAGTTAATTGAAGATGAAAAATCAATGACAATAAAGACAAACCATAAACACAAATGATTTCGTGTCTAAGATGATGATTTTCCTTGCACAAGAAAATAATTTTATTGACTTTTATCTTTTCACACAAACATATAAAGAGCAAACTAGTGTTAGTTATTGTACCATTGGTTATATTTTGTTTATATCTACACCATGTAAACACATAATTTTCATGCAGATGTATTCAGTGTAGGATGGTTTTATTATTGCACGTTTCTCGATACTCTATTACACCAAAAACAAGTTGTTACTAATTAAATCAGTACTATCTTGCACTGAAATAATTTCTTAATAATTTTTAATTATTGCATTTTGATATACAAAATATGTATGTGTTAAGTTGTTAAGAGAGACAAAGACAGCCCAATTGTTACTTCGGTAATATGAATATTTTCATCTTTATCAATTTGAAAGACGTAAATTTATAATATAACAATGGTGCCTTTGCTAATTTTTTCAAGAAAAACTAAACATTTGGCTGTCTTTCTCACTGACTGTTAAAAAGTAAATCGTAAACTCCACAAGAAAATGACTTATGATTGACGTTCATCATCGTGATAAACAATTTAACCATTGTGAATGAACACTCCAAACCATATGAACAGGAAAAGTTAACAAAAGTCAAAGAAAGTTTTGCAATATAGAGAGACAGAAAACAAACCACAATGTTGCATGTGGAAGGATGTTTAATGACAAGATTTTAACTTTTAATGAAAAATTGATATCAAGCATTGTTAAAGTTTGAACACTTTCACTTTGTGAATCGATACTCTATGGAAATTTTTTTTAACAACATCAGCTCAAACATCAGTGGACATACTAGAAGTTACTTTGCCAAAGTTTGATATGTTTATGGCTTGGCTATAAAATTCCAACGTCTACTCTTAATTCAAACAATAATACAAGAAGAAGATTAATTTCAGGAAGTGACGTAATGAAAGAAATGACTAATTTATGTACCATGGTTCTCTGTGGATTTATTGTTGTACTTTATATCGTCACCCAGGTCACGTGTTCATTGAAATGTTATCTGTTGTCAAAATTGGAGGATATGAACTTTTACATTTTCAAAATGGTGAAGCTGGCTATTCACTTTTTATAAAACTGAAGCGTGAAAATCATCATCTCATGTGGACGTTTTGATGTGAACATAACGCATAAGTAATCATGAGAGTGAATAAAAATAATTTGATTTTACTACATTGTGGCTATTGGAGATGGTTGAAGGGATTTTTTGCTGCATCTATAATTGAAGCTGCTTCTTGATACAAACGCACTGTCATCGTGAATATTATGAAATTCGATTGCCTTTGCGCATGCTCTGAAATATATATATGTACTTGAATGATACTATAACATTTGTGATATGAATTAAGATCGTAACAGCAACAAGTCATGAAAATTCAAAGCAAACGTCAACTATGGATGGTTGTAGAATGAAAGTGATCAGTTTAGTTCATATAAATGGTGAGCAAATCACAACAAAAATAACTTCAATATGTAAGAACTATATCAAGTTATGAGAATGAAAAATATGGAAAAATTTCAACGTCTCTCTTTTTCAAGATGTCATATTTCTAAATCCACTGTGTTTTATTCTTTATGTAATGAACAATTTTAGATCATTAAATTTATTTCAGTTTCTTGTGTACATATCTATGTATAGTGAATAGATATCTTTCATAACATCCCCTAAACGGACATCTACCGTAAGCAGACATTAGGTCGTGGTCTCAAGGATGTCCGTTTACGAGTAGCTTGACTGCATGCAGACTTCATTACTGCACTTTTTCTTTACGTTTTTAGATTTTTCTTTTGCTGCTTAAATTTTAAATGCTAAATAAATGAATCCCAGATAACTCAACAACATTTTTTAGGCTAATAGCAATTTGCCAACAGCCATATGAAGATCACTGGTGCTCTAGAAAAGGACGTGTCTTATCTTGAAGTCAAAGTTTTTAAAATTAGCAGTAAATAGTTGTATAATAACTTTCACTCACATTAAGCAACATTCTTTGTTGGTAATCGTCATCTTGTAAAGGAATTTGAAAAATACTCACATTTTATCAAAACAGAACAATTGCAGTTGCCCTTTTAAAGACTAGTTGGGATTCATTGATTTAGCACTTATCAAAAATTATTTAAAGAGAAACTTTCTTTTTGCGCAGTGTTTTGTTGAACTTTGTTTTTTAACACATATTAATATAGTTTTATTATATTTATATGTTAATGTAGGAAGTAATCTTTGTATAAATATGTTTTCTACAAAATTGTTACAATATATGTGTGTTGATCTATATATAGTGTCGTCGCTTAATAAACTCGAGAATTTTTTCAGTTTTCGGCTTCGTGGCTGTTTTATTCGTTATGATATTAAAATGATTGGACAAAACTTTTCACTTGTTTTCCTGGCAGGAAATCGTCCTTTATTTCAAGTCATGTGAATACTAATGAACCAATCGCAATTATTATACACAGTACCTATATAACAATACAACTAATTGTATAAATAGACATAATTCCAAAGTTGATTTGCCGATTTGAATGGTTTGCAGGACTCCAAATCTAAATCAAACGACTTTTATGCACATCATTAGTCTCCTAGAATTTAGTTCAGAAAAATGCATCAGTGGGACATGGTGATTAGGAATTAAATTTTTAGAATAAGTTGAATTTTATGATACTGTTTTTTGATATATCCTGTATTTGTTCCTTTTTTGGAACACCCCGTATAATGTATATATGTACGTAAAGAATGGTTCACAAGGTGAGATCATCAGCTACAATTGTATCTTTTACACGTAGAATCTTATCAATTTTCTTACATTAAAGTTGTAGCAAACAGATACTTTAATGCTAATGACTTAATAGTTTAATATGTAATTATGATTAATATGAATCGGACATGATGACATGAGCTATCTTTAGAGATGAAAGTTGTGAGGTAACGGCAAAAGAACGTACGTAGAAGTTAAAAGTGTTTGATGTTTTTTAGGCCTAGTTCAAACGTCAAACTTTAGATGAACCGAACGCATTTAAAACAAAAGATAATGAGGAAACTCATCTCATTTTCTTTTGTCTTTAATGCGTTCGGTGCATGTAAAGTTCGACGTTTGAAACAGGCCTTAGATTGAAATTAAAAGATATCACAAAAACACTTCAATCTTGAAGGAAAAGTAACATTATATTTTTTGATAAGCATCCTGAACACCATGTGATTTTTTTATTGTGTTTATAACTAATTAAAATTGTATTGTTAGTCCTGATTTCAGGACTTTCGTACCGGTTTGAGGAACTGACACATATGCCATGTTGTTCGTCATGGTTATTTTACCCAAAAACAGTTGAGATTACTTCCAGTAAATGAAGTGAATACAAACTCTTATACGGGTTTTTGACTATAGCACTATACCTTAGTTTCTATCTGATTTTCTCATCGTAGGATGTTTGGGTGTCAAGGAGAAGCGTCTTCCTTTAAAATTTTGCTTCATTTCATTATGGGTTAGCCGTTAGCAGTCAGCATTTGATATACAGACATAAGATTGAGTTTATATGAAATGTAACGAATTGGATTTTTCTTAAATTTGCCTTGAGAGTTTCGCCAAATATCGACAACCTCTTTCCCGTTTCCCGGTATGTTTAAAGCTCAGTTAATTTTTCTCGTATCAGATGCCTTTCTTTGCTTGTTACGGATATATGAGACTGTGGCCAGGTTTGAATTTTTTGGAGGTGCAAATTTTAAAATTTCTAGACACGATTGACTCTGAAATGAAGCGCTAACAACACAAGATATGGTTTCAAAGGTAAAGCAAGTTAAGCATTCATCTTAAAAATGTGGAAGTTAAAGCTTAAAGTTGCTTGAGGATCATTCTCTATGTTGATGTGAAAAACAATGTTGTTTCTATTGGACAAGAACTTTGCTTTTTCACGTTGTCAAGTCAAGTGTACAGAATTATGAGATTAAGTCAGTTGACATTAGATCCGACACGTAACGAGAACCCTTAAAAGCTTGTGGAGCGTGTGAAATATTTTGTGGTGGATCTGAGGAAGATGATGATAATTTAAACATGAGTGAAATATGAATGTAAACCAAATTCAGGTGAAAATTTTACAGTATTGTGGTGTGTGGCTAAAGTTTGTATAAGTTAGACAGTCCGTGTCAATCGTTGTGTAAACTTTCCGTGGGATGTGTAGTATTCACGCTTCTTATATGTTTCATGATTTTTTAGAGATTTATTATAAGTTCTTCGCCGATTATTGAGACAAAAATTTACAATGACTCTAACTTACATTAACTAAGACATTTATTTAATTATTTAAATCAAACTAACGATTTTTAAATTCATATTGACGCGTTACTAAAATGTGTCTACCTTCGTTTTACCCCCAGCAGTTCTATTTTTTGAATCAATATCTAAATGCGCACGCGCTAAAAAGTATTTTGTGTGAACTGCAGTGAACTGTAATTAGGCAAGAAGATTAAC